ATTTCTAGGTCAACTTTTTTTATGCCTTTAATCTTGTCTCAACTTTATATTTTCACCTACTACTGTTAGCACATAAAGTGTATCTAAATACACTGTAGTATCAAAGATGCAATCTCATTGAATTAGTCTGAAATTAATATTGCTTGTAATTTGAAGTAACCTTCCTCAACCAACACTGGTCGTAAATAATGTAGACAAAATGAGTGAAGTACTTTTGACTCTCAGAAATTAGTGAACCTAATTAACAGTTCACAGTTCTTTAGAATGTATGAATTCAGGCCTGTCAACTTGGGAACACCTAACATGAGTGACTTGGAAATGTTGAACACCTCCCCTCAAAATGTGGACACCTTGGTCCAAATCTGAACACCTTGATCCAAATTTTGAACACCTTGGTTTAAAATTTATTACATCTTGCCAAATTTTGAACACCTCAAATTTTTAGCGCTCGCTACGCTCGCGTTTCAAACTTCCATCAACGGGGGGGGGGGGGGAGGTACGAAAAATTTCGAACGGAATGCGTGACATATACGTAATTCGCGTGAAAAGTCTGAACGAAATGCGTACGTTTTTTTTTCGGCGTTCGTATTTTTGCTGTGTAGACGAACTTTTTTAGAAATTTTTCTACAGAAATCTTTTTGCGTGACAATTACCAGGTAAAATGCGTATTTGCGTGACATTTTCTGTCACGCAAAAATAACTGGCGTGACTTCAAATTTTTCAGCAAATGCGTGACAAATACGCAAATTGCGGGACAGTTGACAGGCCTGATGAATTACTAGAATATTCAGTGGTTTACTTTTCAAAATTTAAAAAAAATCCATTGAAATGTCTTACATTTTCAAAAACTCATGAAAAGTTCAATATGTGAAGCAAGTGACCACATAATTTATGACTGAATCAGATGCCCAAAATGTTGAACAGACATGACAGAAAATAATACTATGAACTTATAACAAAAGTGTTCTAGATACTCGCATCTACTTGAATAAAGTTATATTTGAAGGCTACACATGTTGCATAATTTGACTAATTTGTCTAAAAGTCTAAACAACAAGGAAGTAATTGCCAGATTGGAACCATCCTATATATATTGGTTCCAACATTGTTAGTTTACATGTAGGTCACTGTCACATACACTGTTTTTTTTGTTTGGATCTAGTGTACTGTATACTGCTTGTAGCTCTCAATTCAGAGTAAGGTCATGTGCCTTGTGTAATGTATCCTGATCTCTAGACAAGTTCACTATTTTGTTATGTTATATTGAGGTTGTAATAGTTTTATCCTGATATATTCAGATGACCTGAGTACTTTCTCAACCGACTAAATGATTATGCTACCATTGTTCACTTCACACAATCAAAATTAGAATGTAATGTTTCCATTGGTAACTACAATATTTTTTCATTATTTCTTATTTCTTCAACATAAATTACACAAAATTTAATTTTTTACCCGAGTAGTTGCATTAGCAGAAACGGTTCATTTTGGTAACAAAATGTCGGAATATGAAGGTACGATTTTTCTTTTTTCCTTAATTATTTCACACATTGTAGGCAGAATTCCCACAACATTTTTATCACAAACGTGTATCAGTATCATTTGTTTAAGAAAATGTACATATTTTCGAACTAATAGCTCAGAAGACAACAGAATCGTCAATTTAATTCCTAACTAAGTTACATAAAAGGTATTTCGAAAAACAGTTCTGCACTTTTAACCCGTAGCGTTTATGTAACTTGAGTGAGGAATTAATTTGACGATTCTGTTTTCTTCTGAGCTATTTTTTCGCAAACATGTACATTTTCTAAAACATGTGATACTGATACACATTTGTGAGAAACAATGTCATGGGGATTCTGCCTACAACGCGTGAAATAAGGAAAGAAGAAAAATCATACCTTCGACGTTCCAACGAACCATTTCGGTAACCAGTGTAATTGAGCGGATCACCAGTATATACATGATATAGGATGTATGATATAAATAAGAAAATGTACTGTTTCACTTGAGAATGAAGATATTCTAATTCTCATTGTCTGAATTTAAAAATGTTTAAATGATATGTAGTAACTGTTTCAGAGAAAAAGGTCATATTTGTTAATTTAAATGATTATCCCATCGAACGAAGTTCGGAGGGATATAGGGAACGCCTCCGTCCGTCCGTCCGTCCGTACGTACGTCTGTACGTACGTCCGTCCGTCCGTCTGTCCGTCCGTCCGTCCGTCCGTCCGGGCAATAACTCAAATACGGTTGGCCAGATTTTGTTCATATTTTGTACACATATACCCTATGGGGTTAGAAGTTCTGCTCGACAGCTGATTTTCAAAATGGCCGCTCATTTCAAAATGGCGGCCATTTTAGTGACGATTTTACAGTAATTTAGGTGCAATATGTAAAACTGTATTAGCAATATGTTTTAAATGTAAAAAAATTATAAAGGACGTTAATAATGCTACAAATGTAGATATTAAAGAAGCACATGGCAGCCATCTTGAAAAATGGCGGCCTTTACTTGTCATTTTACGATTTTTGCTGTAACTCAAAAAGTAGTTGAGCGATTTTGTTCATATTTGGTATGTGAATACTATAAGCATGGCATACTGTCCTATGACACTTTTGGTAGAAGGCGGCCATTTTGAAAAAAAATTTGAAAAATGGCCGCCATTTTAACATATTTCACTATAACTTGAAAAGTAGTGGAGCGATTTTGTTCATATTTGGTATGTGAATACTATAAGCATGGTACACTGTCCTATGACACTTTTGGTAGAAGGCGGCCATTTTGAAAATAAATTTGAAAAATGGCCGCCATTTTAACATATTTCACTATAACTTGAAAAGTTGCGGAGCGATTTTGTTCATATTTGGTATGTGAATACTATAAGCATGGCACACTGTCCTATGACACTTTTGGTAGAAGGTGGCCATTTTAAAAACAATTTTGAAAAATGGCCGCCATTTTAACGTATTTTACTATAACTCGTAAAGTAGTGGAGCAATTTTGTTCATAATTGATATGTGAATACTTTAAGCATGGCACATTGTCTAATACAACTTTAGGGAGTAGTCGGCCATTTTGAAAAATGGCCAACATTTTTATGTGTGTTATTTTACAAGCATGTGTGCGATTTTTCAAAAATTTTAGAGGTGGCTACTTAAAAGCATATTATTTCTTCTGATGACAACTTGGCTAGTGAGCAACCATTTTGAAAATGGTGGCCTTTCTGGTGTGTTCTTTTATGATATTTGTGCTTCGTTTATAAAAATGCCAGCCATTTCTGTTCGATGGGATTCGCTACGCTTTGGCGTTGCCGTTGTTCTGGTTCTTCATGTTTTGGGGGGAAATCATGTTTTGCTGTTCCAGAAATGAAGAGGAGTTCTATGAAAGCCATGACACTGTAGAGAAAGTTATACCCTTAACAAAGCATACCAAAGTTTTCCTTATCTTAGCATTAAGCATTATATAGGATCACAAATTTGCAAATATGAAACTCAGAAAAACTTGTATATAGCTAGCTGTAGCTTTGAATATACTTTGTTCTGTTGGCTGGGATAAGATTTGAAATAATAAACATGACAGAGATTTGGTGTCAGACAAGTCCATGCACAAAATACTCAAGAAAGCCTACGCAATAAACCTGAGCCTCATTTGATCAGAATGATTATTATTAACCAATGCAACAAATAATATAAACAATCTTAAAATTACCTTTCTTTTCTGTTTTCTGGGATTTTTAACTTTAACTTTCTACTTGAGGAATACTTTAAGCGCACAGATTAGTGTAATTGAAATGTTTTGACATTTTGCCCTTGCAGATCATATCAATTCAGAAATATATGTTTGAAAGTAATGGTTCATCCCTGTCAAATGGTACTTTCACTATCTGTTCACTAGTTTGGAGCACACACAAATATGAAATTAATAACAAAATATTTTTATGTTTTAGTTTCACTTAAAACTCGCATGTTTTGTTCAGCTACATAGTGTAAATTACTATTATACCATCAAAAGAATTCAAGAAAGAAACTCATATTCCAACTGTTTTAATTTCTAATGTCCTCAAATTTATTAATGAACATAAACATGGCTTTTCTAATTCTGTATTATTTTCTGTATTTGAATATCAATCTGAAATACTTTGTTGAGTTTCAACACTTGACCTAAACTGTACTTTTTAACTTTTAAAACTTGATAGTCAACCAATATATAACTAACCTAATTATCTTTTAAATCTGGGGACATTGTGATAGTGTTTTCTAGTGAATTCTTAGAAGCAAGACTGGAAAGTGAAACGTGATCTTGTTCTGTTTTGGCTCAAGGCAACCCTAAGACTGCATCTGGCAAATAAATCGCAAGCATATCAACAGAGTGATACTATGTTGACACATAAGCTTGACAGTTTTTTGGCTTACATTTAGAGATTGTGTACATTAACTGACTAATTACCCCCTTTTAAAAGACTGAAAGACACTCCACCCTTATACCACTATAGAGTACCCCGCACAGACTACCACCCCCCCCCCCCATTATTACCCCCCCCCCACAGAATTCCTTCACAAATACCCCCCCCCCCAAGAATATTCCATGGTCAATACCCCCCTCCCAGAATTTTTTCGGTCTCCTACCCCCCCCCCAGAATTTTTTCGGTCAACACCCCCCCCCCAGAATTTTTCGGTCTCATACCCCCCCCCCCCCAAGAATTTTTCGGTCAACACCCCCCCCCCCCCCCAGAATTTTGCATCCATACCCCCCGTACATTTTTTAAATGGAATGGCCCAATAAATAAATAGAATAGTAGTGAATACTAGTGATTTTACCTGCATAAATCATCCAAAACATATGCTGGTATGTTTCCAGTATTAGCTGCATTACTGCCCGCACTTTGCATTGTATAAATCAGTTAGATATAACCAGCAAATGGTCATATATTACGAAAACATTTCTAAAAATTATTTCAACTTTTGCTTACACAGATTAGGATGACGTCACCAACAGCTCAGGAATCAATGACGTAGTCCGCACCCTGAAAATAAATCCGTGGCAAAATTGTCAATCACAGTAAGTTTTCTTACCATTTTAGATGTTTTACGCGTCATAAGTTTTCCGTAATGTTCATCAATAATATATTGATGTTGTACGTCAGTACTGAAGTCATACTTGTTGTGCATAAGACCAGTTAAAGTTTAATAATATTAGTAATATTTTTATATTCCGGCTAGAGTCCATTTCACTGCTTCATTTCGTCAGTAGGCTAGAACGGCAAAAATAAGAAATTGGGAGATCATTGTGCAATAATATATGGAAAAGTATATTCATAATGTACATGAATGACATTTGTATATTTCAGATTTTTTATTTTTTTGTGCAATAAGCCCGTGCCGTCTTGTAATTTGAAGAATTTCAGCCATGTTAAAGGTTGAATAAAGACTGTAGAAGAAATTTGGGAGTCATTTTACCTTTCCCGAGCTATTAGTGCAACGTTTGACCTAATGTCTTCTTCGCCATATCTATTTTCTTAAAATATATGCACTTGTCGACGAATACCACCAATCAGACTTGCAAATAGACTTCTAAATAAGCAATTGAAAGGATGGACGTCCCGCATTTTGTTTTTTGAAACATTTCTAGATCTCCGCCATTTAAAATTCTTGCTGCAGCTGAGATAGGTAAGACCGCATGTTACAGTATAACCGCGGTTGTCTGATATAACCGTATGCATGGTACCCGATATGACCGCCGTTGACGGTCTATTACCGGCGACTCTTGCAGTTAATCTCATCCACTGACGAAGAAAAATCAAAAAAATCTAAGTGACCAAAACACCTCAAATCTGCCCATATTCAAGGTCGTCTTGACACGCGCATGGTATAAAGGAAACAGAATGTTGGATAGAACGTTAGGTGAAAACGGGGCTGGAATCCAATGACAATATAACCGGGAAATCATTAAAAGGTACGTGATCATTTTTTCTGTCGATGTCGGGAGAAGATTCCCGGGGATTTAGGATGCTAGTGATTGTGAATATCGGCAGAAATTAGGTACGTTCGGGGGTTTTCTTTGTAGCTAATGAAAATAGATGTTAGCCTTGATGAAATATTCAAAAATCGATATATTTTGACACCAGGACCATGATCGTTGGATACGTCTCTGCACTATTTATTCAACCTTTAATCTTATTGAAAATAACATGGCAGAGAAACATCCAAATATAAGAGGCCACACACTTTATAAGCCAAACTAGAAGCAATCCAAGATATACAAATGTCATTCATGTACATTATGAATATACTTTTCCATATATTATTGCACAATGGTCTCCCAATTTCTTATTTTTGCCGTTCTACTGACGAAATGAAGCAGTGAAATGGACTCTAGACAATGCCATGGGGAACAAAAATAAACCTCAACCATCAAAAGTTGTCACAATGAGCTAAATTCTAAGTTTCGTGTCTCAAACTCTCCCAAGCGATAGAAAAATAATTCCCATTCACTTTAAGTAGCACAATAAATGAATCCAAAGCTTCATACCTGCAAATGATGTAAATCCCTTCCAAATCGAACAAATGTTTTCATGAATCGCCATGTTTGTGATCAAAGGAGGATTGACTTCCAGAATGCAACATCAATAACCCAGATGCGAGTAGAAATAATCTTGATTTACGTCATTAAAAATTCAAAATTCAGTCAAAGTAATATCATATTTGAAATCTACATCTAAAATTACATCTAGAAATGTGGTTTTAAAAAGTGTTAATCAACTTTGAAAAATTAATTTTCTTTGAAAATGTGACTTCTAGCTCGGGGAGATTCCCCATAGACCCCATGCTATAAAATCACTAAAAATGAAATATCTTTTCTTTTAGTGGATAGATAATATTTTGCTTTACTGGACATATTTTAATTAGTATAAGTATCAGACGCATAAGGGTTATATGAAAATTGAACCACTTAAGTTGATAATATTCAAGTTTAAGGGAACTTTCTTGTATACCTGCCATGTTAATTGACCCGAATCAGCCACCTGGTGGTGAAACTGGTAACTACCTATTCGCATTTGGGTAATTAACCTTATTTACTCGGGACAGGTTTTAAAATGGCGGAACAGCATTTTGAAAGCTTGCACGTGTCATGTTGTTATCTTGTTCCAAAACAATCTATACGTTCTAGTCAGAAACGAAGAGGATGGTGTTGGAACAAGATAATCATGTTGCATTCTGGGAGCCAATCCACATTGCGGCACAAAAAATCACCTCAACATTTGATGAGTCGGCATTAACAGCATAGCTATAGTAATTCTTTATGTTCCCCACTGTAGTATAGACTATACAATTGGGAACAAAAATAAATGACAGGTGAATTTGCTGAATTGAGGATTTCCCATGTTAAAAATAAGAGAATTTTCAAGAGGCCATACATCAGTGGATGAGATTATACAAAATGTAAAATATACAAATTTTAGGGATATGTATCTCACAAGTGAAGAGAATGTTCTGGCGAAATACAGTGCTGATATAATAAAGGGTGCGTTTTCAAACTAAACAGAGTGCTCCTACCAAAATGAATTTGTCTACATACTGTACCCCTGAGTCTTATCTAATAGATAGAATGCACAAATGAAACAAAAGTTTTGCTATTAAAGGTGAAAAGTTCTCTTAAAAATTCGAAGTAATTTTACCTGTCAATTCTGTACTTTGTCCGCCATGTTGGCGGAAGTTACACTGAAATGCAAACCCCATTAAACGAAACGAAATCATTAGAAAAAGCCATGGCACACATTGTGCGCATGTGCAGCAGAGTTTAAACCAATCAGATTATTTGATTATTTTGCGTACATGAACTATTTGCTTCTGAGCACTTACAAGCTAACCACAATAAACAAACCTGACAGAGACTACCCTTAGCCAACTTCATTTTAGCGAAATTTCAGCTCAAACTCGTGACAAATGCATTTTATATACGATGGTATGAAGCCTTTGAGACACTCATTTTGGTAAATATGATTTACAGTGTATACTTTTCTGCAGTTTGTGGGAGTTTGGGACATTAAATGTTAAAATTCAAGAAAATATGCCAATTATACGACTTATCAATTATTTTGTATCAGCACTATTAAAGCCTTACCTGAGACTAACATAAAACTTTTATGATGGTCTCAGGCCTTACATGTAAGTATTCAATTATCTTGTTCGGGTATACATGTATATATTTATTTATCTCGTTTGAAGAACATATATTAGACGTCCGTGATGTATCTAGATAATATTGGAAATTGTGGGCTTTCAAATGACCATGGTTAGGAAATGGTGATAGAAAATCCACATGCTATTTATTTTTGTTCCAAACTATAAATCTTACTTTACAAACTGGTCTCACACAGGGAAGAAGTCTAACCTGTAATATGCACCAACTGAAAAATCAAATAAATCATTCCTTGTCATCTCAAAACAACAATAAAGTACATCATTTGATAATTGGTACAGCAATACAAAAATATACATGCCGATGTGATCAAAGTCATGCAAGTAAAAAGTTTAAGAAGGATTTTCTGAAAAATTTGGAAAAAAATGTAATCTGCTTCATATCTTGATGTTTTACGACTTACCTATTTTAATAAAACTTGTTGAGCTATAGTTGCTTTATAATATCTGTGCTGTTATAGTTCAATATGTGTCAACATCTGTGTTGCAGTTTAGTAATGTACCTAGAAATTTACATTTCTAAAATCACGACTGCACCGAACGAAAATTCTTGCAAGACATGACAATGTCTCAGTATAAACACTGCGGCAAGCAGAATGAATAATCAAAAATTGTTGAATGTAGTACCCCTTTCAACGTATAGTAGATGATTGAATATTATTATGAAATATTTATTCTTTTATGTTTCCAAATCAAATTTATGAAATATTACAAGAAATCTCTGTGAAAAGAAATTTGAGTCAAAGTTTTGTTGATATTAGTTCACCCACTTGGGGTTATTGATTAATATGTGAAGTGCAACCAATCACTTTCCTTTGATTTCCCAATCATGTGGTACGAGCAGAGGCTAATATTTTTCAGCTGGTCTGATAATGTTGCAAAGACTAGCACTTCCACAAGGTATGGGAGTTATATCCTGGTCACTACAATGGCGATATCTATGAATATTAGTGATGTTATTATGGTTTTGTTGAGATAGATATTGACCATATAGAAAGTCGTCCCTATTTCGATGACAAACTCTGATTGGCTCGGTGAGATCACAGATTTATTGTAAACTGAAAGAGTGAAGATGAAGCTCTCTTTTAAAGATGCAACAATTAGTGCAGGGGGCCATTCAACGTTCATCGACCAGTGTCAAAATATATTTAAGTTTGGATATTTATCAAGACTAACATATATTTTTATTATCTACAAAGAAACCCCCTGGATGAACATTATTTCATAGCTGATATTCCTCTTGAAACATGGTGAATCTTAAAAATCTATAAGTGGAACTCCCTTTATAGAAGCTTTGAACTGAATTTACACTTCTTAATGCTGGTAATTAATTAATCAAAATTTTTAAAATTTCTTTCTACAGTCCTTGTTGCCCCTTTAAGAAGTGAGTCAAAGTCAAATGAATGTAAAGGGTAAAAATTCATAAGGACACGGATATCATTTTCAACAACAACATTAGGAAGTTGTTAACATAAGTGAATGATCTGGTAAGTCACAGCTGGCAAAATTATATATTATATATATTATAAACGTCAGAAAAGGAAAATTAAATCTTGCAAAAAAAGATGGCCATCTTTTGAAACAATCTTTTTGGTACACATAAAAGTTCCTGGGTCTGTCGGTTCCATCATCACATGTGTGAAGCGATAAATCATGAATCATGCGTACATCACGAATTATGCGTAAATCATGACCATGCGGGTATATATACTGGATATATCCAAGAGGTATTTCTCACCTTCATTGATGATAACAAATTCAATCATTTCAGATTATTGCCACTATGATAGAAGTTATAGCCCAGCTACAGAGAGGCTCTGTCTTTCTGGCAGGAGAGCACATTGAATGCACCCTCACAATCAGAAACATTGTTGGAGAAGATAATCAAGTGAATAGGTAGGCTTTTTTCATTATCCCATCGAACGAAGTTCGGAGGGATATAGGGAACGCCTCCGTCCGTCCGTCCGTCCGTCCGTCCGTCCGTACGTACGTCTGTCCGTCCGTACGTACGTCCGTCCGTCCGTCCGGGCAATAACTCAAATACCGTTGGCCCGATTTTATTCATATTTTGTATACATATACCCTATGGGGGTAGAAGTTCTGCTCGAAAGTCGATTTTCAAAATGGCCGCTCATTTAAAAATGGCGGCCATTTTAGTGCCGATTTTACAGTAATTTAGGTGCAATATGTAAAACTGTAATAGCAATATGTTTTAAATGTAAAAAAAATTATATAGGACATTAATAAAGCTAGAAATGTAGATATTTTAAAAGCACATGGCAGCCATCTTGAAAAATGGCGCCCTTTTCTCGTTATTTTACGATTTTTGCTGTAACTCGAAAAGTAGTGGAGCGATTTTGTTCATATTTGGTATGTGAATACTATAAGCATGGCACACTGTCTAATGACACTTTTGGTAGAAGGTGGCCATTTTGAAAAATGGCGGACATTTTGAAAAATGGCTGCCATTTTAAGTTATTTTACTAAAACTCGAAAAGTAGTGGAGCTATTTTGTTTATATTTGGTATGTGAATACGTATAAGCATGGCACACTGTCTAATGACACTCTTGGTAGAGGGCGGTCATTTTTCAAAATGGACGCCATTTTAACGTATTTTACTTTAACTCGAAAAGTAGTGGAGCGATTTTGTTCATATTCTGTATGTGATTACTGTAAGCATGGCACACTGTCTAATGACACTTTTGGTAGAAGGCGGCCATTTTGAAAAATGGTGGACATTTTGAAAAATGGCTGCCATTTTAACTTATTTTACAATAACTCGAAAAGTAGTGGAGCGATTTTGTTCATATTTGGTACGTGAATACGTATAAGCATGGCACACTGTCTAATGACACTTTTGGTAAAAGGCGGCCATTTTTCAAAATGGCCACCATTTTAACGTATTTTACTATAACTCGAAAAGTAGCGGAGCGATTTTGTTCTTATTTGGTATGTGAATACTATAAGCATGGCACACTGTCTAATGAGACTTTTAGTAGAAAGCGGCCATTTTTCAAAATGGCCACCATTTTAACGTATTTTACTATAACTCGAAAAGTAGCAGAGCGATTTTGTTCATATTTGGTATGTGAATATTATAACCATGGCACACTGTCTAATGACACTTTTGGTAGAAGTTGCCCCTTTTGAAAAATGTTCGATGGGATTCGCTACGCTTTGGCGTTGCCATTGTTCTGGTTGTACAAGGGGCAATCCATATATTCTGATAAAAATGCTCTCATTTTGTGATTTTTTCACATATCCCTTTCATTTTTTCAGAACATGTACAGGGTGTCAAAAAACAACGGCACCCCCCTCTACAGCAAAAAATCCTGAATGTTCCATATTGTGTCATACATCATTTGAAAGATAATTTAATTCTGGAGTTACTCCTCAAATTTCGTTTAATGAAACTTTATATTAAAAAAGCTACATTGTTTTTAAGTTTGCTACTTTGGTACTTTATTTGCTGCTCTGTTATTGGTTAAAGGTCAAATCTTCAGAAAGTGGAATATGAACGAATTAGCTCAGATTTCAACTGCACTGAACATATGGGTTCAGTTCTGAAAAACAGGGTATAGGAACTGATGGACGAAGAGCCTCTTGAAAAAAGATACAGTGAGGATGTATTTCTGAAGAATTTGAGGAAAGTGCTTAGAGGATTATGCAATGCTACACATTTATCTGAATTTTCATTGAAATCATATCCGTCCAGATAAGCTGCTGTTTGAGCAGCAACTGGTGGTCATACCAACTACTAAGAATCAGCTGCAAATCTGTAAAATTATATGATATAAAGCTGAAATTTCTCAGGTAACTCCAGAATTAAATTATCTTTAAAATGAGATATGACACACCATGTAATATTAAGTACTTTTTGCTGTAGAGGGGGGTGCCGTTGTTTTTTGACACCCTGTAGATTATGTAATTACACATACGATGCTAAAATATTTTAGCTGTATCTTAAATTAATTTTGAAATAAGGTTGCCATGGTAACCTGTATTAAGGGTAGGCAGGTCAGTTAAATTATAACGTCTAAAATAGATAAATATGTTAATTTAATCATTCCTCGGTACCTATTTTAAGATCAAACGCATCTTCCAGTCATTGTCAACTATTCATTTATCTGTTCCATACCCCTGTTGCCCTTGTTTGATAATTTATACAGTGGGATAGCTATCTTTTCATAAGTAACATCTCAATTTATCGTAGTGTTATTCTCTGTCCGCAAGCTCTTCTTGCAATCATATTGCGGATGACCATGCTTTCCTCTTTACAATACTACCTATATATTCTTTATGCAGATATAACACCTTGCCCATGCACTTTATGAGTCCATGTATGTCTCTGACAGTGTCCTCTTACTTATTCTTGAAAGAATAATGGAAAATCTAATGGTATTCCCTAATGTATCAGTTAATGTGACACTCTGCATCAGCCACATTAACCTAATCTGACCATTTGATTTTTGGTGTGTCTCATAACATGTAATGTCAATTGGCCCATTCTGTCCTACAATGTTATTGTGAATTGTTGTGATGTTATAGTGAGCACATATAAACATTTGTTTAGCAACAAACAACGAGTAACAATACCAAACTTTTTTAGAAAAAATGCATGATTTCCGCATGCTTTAAAATAATTAAAATAACAAGTTATTTTGATATTTATATGTTATAATTAAATTGACCTGCCTACCCTTAATACAGGTTACCATGGCAGCCTTATCTCAGTGATAATTTAAGATATAGCTATAATATTTTAGCATTGTATGTGTAATTACATAATCTACATTTTCTGAAAAAATGAGAGGGATATGTGAAAAAATCACAAAATGAGAGCATTTTTATCAGAATATATGGATCGCCCCTTGTATATCATATGTGGGTGACATGACGTACTCTATCTTAAGAAATTTTTAGGTATAACTTTTTGTATGAAAATCTAAAGATTAGCTTTTTTGCTTGCTGAAGAAACTTGTAGACAGCCACTCTAAGCGTGATATTGTTACCTTGTTTTTGCAGAACTGAAACACTTGCATGGATGAGTGCACAGATCCATTGCCAGTGTTCAGTAAGTGAGGCTAGAGTAGGACTGGCAGAGACATCTTTACTGACAACTGCTGAGGTTACTGCGGCAACTGGCAATGACACATCATTTGTTCCAAGTAAAGGTGTGAATTTTGTCATCATAGTTTTTCAATTTAGCTATTTGCAATTGATATACAAAGAGTTTGTGATAATACAGAAATATTTTATTATCAGTTTCACACTGGAACACTTTGACAATGGTAAAGTCAGATAATGTTTTCACAAATGGCTGATGAAACTGCGGGATCAACTCTTTAATCATTTGGTTCTCATTTCCTAGGACATCATCATCACTAGTTCTGTGCATGTGTTAAGTTTTGTGATGGAGTATTACATGAAATCCCAATTCCGATCAAATGTGGTCGTTAATCCCCACAATACACCATCTTCTATATCGTCAATGACAAAGAAATCGGAATAAATATTACTGTTGTCATCCCAATTTTACAGTGCATGATTTTTTTTTTTTTTTTTTATTATAAGAATTTATTCATTCAAACTTATTAGCAAATACATAATTCCAATCGCCCGAAGGCATTATAGGAAAAATGGACATTTAAACAATATATATTAATACATATAATAAATCATAATAGTACACTATACAACAGGTTAAAGGGGATGCACTTGTAGGTTGGGGATAGGGGAGGGGTGTTTGGAGGGGAGACTAAACAGGTTCACTTGAGGAGGGAAATCAGATATTGGCAGAAATAAAATCAGCCACTTTGGACAAGAGTTGCGAATTTGTTTCTAAAGGTAGATCAGGATCTCCATAATAGAATAAAGAAAGTAAATCAGCTTGATTTTTATGTTTATTAAAGGCTCCTGGTGCAATCAATTCAATGTCTTTTTTTAATGTTTGAAAATTCAATTCATTATTTGGACATTTCAGAAAAAAGTGCTTTGGCGTACTGGTAGCTCCACATGAGCAATTTGGGCCATCAATAAAGGTAAAGTTATGGGCGTATAGTTGAGCCCTAAAAAGTAAATCAACTCTAAGTCTGTTTATAATTATTTCTTGTTTTCTTGTCAAATTAAGAAAGGTAGATGGCAGAGTGAGTTTTTTGGGAGCAACATAAGTTTTTTGATATTTTTTGAAAGTCTGAAGTGTCTTCTTTTCCCTGATATATGATGGCAGCATTGACCATGAACTGATTGCACCTAGGACTGCCGACTCCAAGAATCTGTTGCTACAGCGGATAGGTAGCTTGAAGTCAAAAGTGTTACGATTAGTTCTAATGCTTTTATTTTTGTACTTCTCAAATATCTCATTTAGATATACAGGATTTTTTCCATTGACAACCTTGTACATGAAATTATTAACTTGCATCTTCCTTCTGTCCTCTAATGTATGCCATTGTAGTAAAGTGAGCACTTTAGTGGTATTACTACCATGGTAACAGCCTGAACACAAGATGGCTGCTTGGTAATACAGCTTATTCAACCGTTCAAGTAAATATTTGGAAGATTTGTTGTATAATACAACACCATAGTCAAAATATGGACGGATGAATGAGGTAAAGATCGTCTCCAAATGTTTGGCTGTCAGTTTACCTTGGAGTTTTTTTAGAGGATTTAACATTTTTTTTACCTTTGTACAAATCTCATCAATATGATTTATATTTGAGAGGCATTCATCAAAACAGTAACCAAGATGTTTATGGTTTGCAATTCTTTTGATTTCAGAGTTATTGAGAAATGATGTGGTCACGTTTTCGATTGGCATTCTTGGAGTATGGAAAATAACTTCGCAGCTCTTCTCAGGTTTAAACTCGAGCTTCCATAATTTGGACCAATTTTGAATTGCTTCCAGGTCACTTGCAACAGATTGATCAATCTCATTCGAATTTTTGGGGTCAAAAGAGAACTGCAGTGAAGTATCATCTGCGTATATATAGCACTCTGTGTCAATGTTATCTGGGAGATCATTTATGTACAGTAAAAAAATAGAGGTCCCAAAATTGATCCTTGTGGAACACCGCAATTGATAAAATTGGCCTCCGACATAGAAGACGAAGCACCAGCTAAATTTACATACATTTTTCTGTCAGAGAGATAGGATTTTATGACATTTAGTAACTGTCCCCTTATACCATAAGATTTGAGTTTCAATATGAGTAAGTGGTGAGGGACTTTGTCAAATGCTGATGCAATATCAAGAAATATTCCTTTTGATGCCTTTCCTTCTTCAAAATTATTCTGAAGGAAGTGTTCTATAGTCAAAAGTTGGGCTTGTGTGCTATGTCCAGGAAGAAAACCTGCCTGGTGTTTATAAAGTAAATTATTAAAAGTCAAATGCGTTCGAATTCGATCAGCTATTACCCTTTCAAACAGTTTGGATATAGTGTTTAATAAGGTAATCGGGCGGTAATTGTTAATGTCAGACTTGTCACCTTTTTTGAAAATTGGACAAACTATGCCCACCTTCCATGGTTCTGGAAAAACATTTCTTGAACATAGTCTGTTAAATAAGGTAGATAGAGGTCTTGATATTGTGTGTGCTGTGAGGTTAAGCATTTTGTTCGTGATCATATCAGGTCCACAGGCTTTTGAAGTGTCAAGTGACAAAATTAATTTCATCAATTCATCTGGATTGGTCGCAACTGAAATGAGTAAAGAGTTGGTTCTGTCAGGAAAATTAGGCAATTGGTCAAAATTGATATTATCCATATGATTTTTGGATGCAAACAGCTTTAGAAAGGCATTTGCCTTCTCAAGGTTATCTGTTATTGGCGGTTGATTTTGATTAAGCAGTGGTGGAATTTGGGAATCAGCACTTTTACCAAGAAACAGCCTTATTAGTTTCCAATAATTCTTATCATTTTTACTAAAGTTATTAATGGAATCGCGGTTTTTTTTATCATGATATTCTTTAAGAGTCGTAATAAGAGTCGTTACTTTGATTGATTGATTGTCATAAACATGTCTATTGAGGGTGGTAGGTGATGATTTGAGTTTCCTAAAAAGTAATTTCTTTTTGTTGATTTCTTGCCTAAGGTTTTCATTAAACCAGGGCTGATCCTTAGATTTGATAGTGATATTCTTATTTGGAATGTGTTTTGAGTAAATATTCATAAGTGAATTGCCAAAATGTGAGGTCACTTTGTTTATATCAATGTCTGAATCAATAATTTTCTGCCAGTCGGTGTTTCGGATTGCATTGTTTAAATTTTCAAGATTACACAGATCATATTTCCGAATAGTTTTCCTAACAGGCTGTTCCTTTGTGATGCTTAGTTTTAAATATGATAAAATGGTGCAGTGATCTGCTCTTCCAATTGGGTCAGTTATACTCCAAGATGTAAAAATATCAGGTGAGTCAGTAAGAATATGATCGATGCATGATTGAGAGTTCTTTGAGAACCTAGTAGGTTTGTTAATTAGTTGGGTGAAGTCAAAATCATCAATAAGATCAGATAATAGTTTCCCAGCCAGATTATTATCATTCTGGTACCAGGCTGAGTTTTTGGCATTTAAATCACCTGAGATGATGACATGGTCAAAATTAGTAGGGTAGTTTTTTATTATTTGGAATTGTTGTTCGAGTCTCGAAAAATATTGTCGAGTTTCCTGTGCTGTTTGACTTGGAGACCTGTAACACACCCCTATCAGGATGTGCTTGTGATTCAATATTAGTTCAGTAAAGATACAGTCAAGGTCAGGTACATAGAAATTTTGATCAAGTTCCTTAGTTGGTATATTGGAATTAATATAAAGAAGTAGACCCCTACCAAGTTTAGAAAAGATAGGTCTTTTATAGTTATTTATGTCAAGTTGGCCTAGTGCAACCATTTCTTGTACTTGACCTGCCTCACATATACTAATGACTGATGGAAAATCAAAATTTGCTCTGATTTTTAGATCCTCAAATCTAGCCCCATTATCAGCATTTATGCTGTTTATGTTTGAGAATAGGCATGTCAAATTGCCATTTTCAGGCCCGGGATTGGGGTGTATGTCACCACATGAGTGCAGGAGAATAGATACAATATTTGGAATATATGCAAAATTACATATACCTGGCACAAATAAAGTTGAGATAAAAATTTTAGATAATAATACAATTGCATGGGCACTATATTTGCATTTAACTAGGTTAGTCACTGTTATAGTAATCAAGATGGGGGTTGTCATATAAACGGTGCAAATAATTATGCTATAAAGAGTCAAGATAGACAACTTGATGACAGAAATGAAAGCATTATGAGCTACACTATTTACATAGTAGATGATCAGAGGAATTATGGAAATTAGTAAAAAGGGCACTACGAGTTCTCCAAATAGGTCATAATGGGTATTTGAGTGGCTTTTTCGAATGGTATTGATTAGGCAGTAACCTTTATTAAAGTTGCCAATAGCTACCCTCCATTGCTGGATACTAATACCTATCCTATCCCAAGTCTCCACTCCAACCACCCTACCCCCCAAAAACAAGTGCAAAAAATATATACTGTCTTCATGTCAGTGATAGGTGGATTTGAGTTTGTATGTGTAATGAGCAAAAACCATGTGAGCAGATTGCTGAAGCATAGATGATATCAACTTAAAACTTAGAATCAGATTAAGTCTTCAAGACATACTGTATGTAGAATGTAATACTGTCACTGCATACAATACATGTAAGTTCCAACAGATAGTAATAATCGAAGAGACAAGTCATATATTGTGTGCAGATGAACACGTCTCCCTCAAGCTTAAGTTCTAGATGAGCAATAAAAAATTATAAACCAGGCTTGCTCACTGAGTCAGTATACTTATTGCCAGCAGTCTAGAGTAGTAATGCTACATATATGAACAACTAACCCAAGTTTAAATATAACATGCTTAGATGCCACCACCTAGTTCCCAAGTATGGAGCCTTAAATCAGATTTTAATCAAGAAAAGGAATGGAGACCATAACAGTATATCACCACTTTTTGGTGGTGACATATTAATGAGGAAAAAGTGACCTGATCCCTCCTAAAACACTTGAGAAAGATAAAAAGGTTATAACCTGGGTTAGTTCATCAAATCGATATACATGTACTTTTCTGACAGCTGTCAGAAGTTTTAAAACTAACTAGTACTAATATGCATTTACATTTAAAGTACAATACTGTATCAAGTTTCAAAGAAAAAAAAAGATGACCCAATGAACATCTGTTCATTTATCGATGTCCCATAGATCCTGGAGTAGGATAGCTATTTAGGAAGAAATGTAAACAATGTCTATTCACTTAATATAAGAACAAGTGTACCCTTACTGTGCAGACAAGTATATATATACAAGTACTGAGTTACATCATGGGCTTTAAGCCCATGGTTACATGTACAGGAATTGTACTTTTCAAGCTTGCTTGAATGGCAATCAGGCTTGCACAGGATAGAATGTGGGGTGCAGCTAGGATGCAGATACCAATAATAGCATTGATATATCTGTCCCAATATAAAAATTGCTAATGTCAATATTGTGAGAAAATTGAGAGTGTAAGACAGGTTGAAATTGTACTCAGGTTCAACATCAGTCCAGAGTCACAAAAATACTTTTAGAAATCAATGTTGTCAGTTGATTTTGCAAGTTAAGACACTAGCAGCCTGATTCCCGTTAGCAATTGTGATAAGATTACAAATTAGAACATAAATCACAGGTTAAACCTACCTGTTAACTAGCATAGCTTGAGAGGAGACGGAAACTCTATGAATTTCGCTAAGTTTTTTTTAAAAATATAGAAACCGGAAGTTGTATTTGACCTTGTGAAGTAGGGTCAAACAAGTGTACTCTGAAGTGTACTGATCACGTGTCAAAACAAAGCAGAAGAAAAAGTGACACGAAGTGGATCATGTTTATACAGTCTATTTATAATGAAAATTGAATTAAATTCACATTAAGATGTGCTGGGGCGTTAGTCAGATAAACAAATATACTAACACAATCAAGTTTTAACAAAGAAACCTGCAATTTAACCATTGGCGAGCAGTTGAAACCAAGGGGTTATAGAGAAGTGTTATATACATGAAAGTCATTATCCGTCATTTGGTTACGGATTTCAGAGTTTATTCATCGAGATCAATTATCTCGTCCACAGAATCAAGTATATTGAATTGTTTAATATGGCCAGACTGTTTGATTTTACCGAGAACTTTACCATTCGACATCCAGCTACTGTCTATTCTTTGGTTTTTTCTGAGGTCGTACAGCAGCTTGCTGTTGAGAGGACTTGCGTCTTCGTATACTCGTAAGTCAGTCCCTTTTAGTTCTTTTTTGTGACGCATTACGAGGTCCTTGTCTGCCCGGAACTTGAAGCGAACTATCATCTTCCTTGGTCCAGTTTGCCCAGGTCTCAACCTACCAGGGACTCTAAAGACTCTAGGGACAGTGCATGATGATAGAACATGTTTAACTAAACAGTGAATAGAAAGACACTTTGATTGAATGTTGTACCAAAGGAATTTGATCTAGGTACTCTATTAAACATGCAGTCAATGAAAATCAAAACCAATAAAATTACGAACCTTTGGCCGCCATTTGTGAGAATGGTATCAGACTTTACCATTGTCGGGGTGTTCCAGTATGATTTTTTAATATTTCTCAAGCTACATGAACATGTATTTGCACCCTGCATAAGATGCATGGATTATTTTTGAGTTGCTGAATATTATTTATTAGGTAATTTATTAGGTAGTTTATTAGGTAATTCTTTAAGTAATTTATTAGGTGTTCTCTCCTTGACCTTATGTCAATTTGGTGTTTAAACACAATTTGGCAGGGTGTTCGAATATTTGACTGGAAGACATGTAATTTTTAGGATCTTTAACAAGGTACAATACTTGGCAAATTGAAATTGGGGAGATCACTGTAGTTTATGTCACCAATTTATAGATTACTTTACCTGATTTTATTTCTTGTATGCTTTTAATTCTGATTATCTGTTGCAGTCAGTGCTAGTTTGGCTACTAATATTATTTTGGGAGGTAGAGATGATTGTACCTTGTATGTGATATTGTGTTCTGGAAATGCAATTGCAATTTGCATACACATTTGATAAATATATGTTACATTTCACTGGTGAGGTCTTGAACACATGCTGTTAAAATGAATTGGCATGTTGCAATTCAATATTGGCATGTTGCAATTCAATATTGGTGTGTTTAATTCAATGTTGGTATGTTGCAACTCAATATTGGCATGCTGCAATTCAATATTGGCATGTTGCAATTCAATATTGGTGTGTTGCAATTCAATATTGGCCTATTGCAATTTAATATCTGCGTGTTTAATTCAATATTGGTATGTTGCAATTCAATATTGGCATGCTGCAATTCAATATTGGCATGTTGCAATTCAATATTGGCATGTTGCAATTCAATATTGGCATGCTGCAATTCAATATTGGCATGTTGCAATTCAATATTGGCATGTTACAATTCAATATTGGCATGTTGTTATTCAATATTGGCATGTTGCAATTCAATATTGGCGTGTTTAATTCAATGTTGGTATGTTGCAACTCTATATTGGCATGCTGCAATTCAATATTGGCATGTTGCAATTCAATATTGGCATGTTGCAATTCAATATTGGTGTGTTGCAAACAATATTGGCCTATTGCAATTTAATATCTACGTGTTTAATTCAATATTGGTATGTTGCAATTCAATATTGGCATGCTGCAATTCAATATTGGCATGTTGCAATTCAATATTGGCATGTTGCAATTCAATATTGGTGTGTTGCAATTCAATATTGGCCTATTGCAATTTAATATCTGCGTGTTTAATTCAATATTGGTATGTTGCAATTCAATATTGGCATGCTGCAATTCAATATTGGCATGTTGCAATTCAATATTGGCATGTTGCAATTCAATATTGGCATGTTGCAATTCAATATTGGCATGCTACAATTCAATATTGGCATGCTGCAATTCAATATTGGCATGCTGCAATTCAATATTGGCATGCTGCAATTCAATATTGGCATGTTTCAATTCAATATTGGCATGTTGCAATTCAATATTGGCATGTTGCAATTCAATATTGGCATGTTACAATTCAATATTGGTATGTTGCAATTCAATATTGGCATGCTGCAATTCAATATTGGCATGTTGCAATTCAATATTGGCATGCTGCAATTCAATATTGGCATGTTGCAATTCAATATTGGCATGTTGCAATTCAATATTGGCATGTTGCAATTCAATATTGGCATGTTGCAATTGTTACAATGTTGCAATTCATCCACCTCAATTGTCTATTATGTATAATTCTGTTTAATGTTGCATGCTTTTCAATCATAATCTTACATTTTGGCTGTATTGCACAGTTCCTTTGTTGTATTGCATATAGTCCCTTTGTTGTATTGCATAGCTCCTTTGTTGTATTGCATAACCCCTTTGTTGTATTGCATATAGTCCCTTTGTGATTGTTCACAAATTTAACCAAGAAATGACACAGTTTGTAAGCACATTACATTACATGTGTATTGTGTATCTTCAATGGCAAATGGAAGTTTCTGCAAAATCCAATGTCCACAATATTTCTTCAATTCTCTAATTATCCCATCCAACGAAGTTCGGAGGGATATAGGGAACGCCTCCGTCCGTCCGTCCGTCCGTCCGTCCGTACGAACGGCCGTCCGGGCAATAACTCAAATACCGTTGGCCCGATTTTGTTCATATTTTGTACACATATACCCTATGGGGGTAGAAGTTCTGCTTGAAAGCCGATATTCAAAATGGCCGCTCATTTAAAAATGGCGGCCATTTTAGTGTCGATTTTACTGGAATTTAGGTGCATGATAAAGCTAAAAATGTAGATATTAAAGAAGCACATGGCAGCCATCTTGAGAAATGGCGGCCTTTACTCGTTATTTTACGATTTTTGCTGTAACTCAAGAAGTAGTGGATCGATTTTGTTCATATTTGGTCTGTGAATACTATAAGCATGACTCACTGTCTAATGACATTTTTGGTAGGAGGTGGCCATTTTGAAAAATGGCCACCATTTTAACATATTTTACTATAACTCAAAAAGTAGTGGAGCGATTTTGTTCATATTCGTATGTGAATACTATAAGCATGGCACACTGTCTAATGACACTTTTGGTAGAAGGCAGCCATTTTGAAAAATGTTCACCATTTCAACTTATTTTCCTATAACTCGAAAAGTAGTGGAGCGATTTTGTTCATATTTGGTATGTGAATACTATAAGCATGGTACCCTGTCTAATGACACTTTTGGTAGAAGGCGGCCATTTTGAAAAATGGCCGCCATTTAAACGTAATTTACTCGGCTTTTACTCACTATTTAACGATTTTTGCTGTAACTTGAAAAGTAGTGGAGTGATTTTGTTCATATTTGGTATGTGAATACTATAAGCATGGCACACTGTTTAATGACACTTTTGGTAGAAGGCGGCCATTTTGAAAAATGGCCACCATTTTGAAGTATTTTACCATTACTCGAAAAGTAGTGGAGCGATTTTGTTCTTATTTGGTATGTGAATACTATAAAAAAAGCATATTACTTCTTCTGATGACAACTTGGCTAGTGAGCAACCATTTTGAAAATGGTGGCATTTCTTATGTGTGTTATTTTATGATATTTGCTATATATTTTTTTTATTCTCTAATTCACCATATATGGGTTTCACCATATATGTGCACTGGGACATATGTGAATGAACACAATCCAAAGCTGATTTCAATGATCAGCAGTACTTAAAGCATGCCATTTCACTTGAACCCAGTCTTGTTAATTTAATGTTGTTATTTAACAGGTGAAAGAGGTTACCCAGTGCTCTCAACTAAGCCAAAGATATTGTTCTGTGATCTCAAACTGCAGACAGGGGAAAGCAAATCATGTAAGTCTTGCCCACATATGAAGATGTAATGTACATTTAAAGGTTTCCCTGTGAAGAAGCTTTAAGGTAGATCAATAAAGTTCCAATTGAACATCTTGTTCAGAGTCGTAAATATAAAAATCATAACGTCTGAGGCCTGCTCAAAAGTGAAATATTGGCAATCCTCTAAATAAGAAGGTGTTATGCATTAAAATGTATTGGTCAGTTGAATGTATCGGTCAGTTGTTTTAGTGGTGTTTGGCCACACCTAAACTAAATAATAACGGAATTGGCAACTCATTCTAAGGATTTCCTTATGATTTACAGATACTTATAAAGAGAAAATCCCTTTAGATGCCCCTCCAAGTTTTCGAGGTACTGCAGTGAAGTATTCCTATAAAATAACAGTGGGCACACAAAGGCTAGACTCACCGATTAAACTCCTACGAGTGCCTTTCAGGGTATTAGTTGTATGTGGTAAGTAAAACAAATCAAACAATTGGGTAGAAGTTGTATGTGGTAAGTAAAACAAATCAAACAACAGGGTAGAAGTTGTATGTGGTAAGTAAAACAAATCAAACAACAGGGTAGAAGTTGTATGTGGTAAGTAAAACAAATCAAACAACAGGTTATTAGTTGTTTATTGTAAGTAAAACAAATTAAACAACTATTATTAGTATGGTATTCGTATACCATATACTGGTACCATATATACCATATGTATTATGAGGTTATATAATGGTTCATTCTGTATATCGTGTTTATACTCGAGTGAGTATATGATATATTCACAAGTGAGCGTAGCGAACGAGTGAATATATTATATTCTCACGAGAGTATAAAATGCACGATATACAGAATGAACCATTATATAATCTTATTATGCCACTCTAAGTTCAACTACAGTTGATTCGAAAACACAATCATAACAATTAAAAACCATAAAAATGTCCCATAGCCAACTCAATAATGCCGATGTTGATCTCGAACCATTTATGACGTCACTTGATTCTAGGAAATCATGCCAAAACCATTTATGACGTCACTTGATTCTAGGAAATCATGAAAATTTTGGAGCGTCGGAACTCCTCATTCGCTCCGCTCATTCGAGGGACACAACAGTCTGTGTAACAAAACATACACGTTGATCTTCGCTCTATATTCATTAGTTCCCAGAATGCACTTCTACAGTGGTATACGCTGGAGTGTATACGGGAGTGTATACGATGACGATATACCACTCTCCACTATATATCGTTGTTATAGACCCATGTTATACAACTGTAATTTGACTAAGAGTGGTATAAAAATGGGTATTAGTTGTACATGTATGTGGTAAGTAAAGCAAATGGGACTATGCTACAGTGAAGTAGTTCTGTAAAATAACATTCATGTTTTATCTTTTAGGCTTGAATGACATGAGTGTATACAATGAATCTGAGGAGATGGTTGGACCTTCTAATCCATTCCTGGCTTATAGAAAACCTGAAAATACAGTACTTGATATTGCTCTGCAGGTCTTGTCAATGTTAACTGCCAGAAAGGGTCCAAGTAAGTAACTCATTTTACAGGAAATTAATTTTAATATACTAATATGTTATATTACACTTAACTTATAATTATTACTTATACTCCATCCAACATAAAGAATAGTGTTTTTATTGTAATTTTTAGAATGTCCTAATTGACAATAGGTTTAGGTACAGTGACCATCAGACCATTAAATATATTAGAATCCTTAACATATTGTTAATTCAACTACAGATGGTGAAATAAAATGACTTACTTCTCTCACAAAAATATGAATTAAAAAAATCTGGGATTGTCATTAAACTCTAAAATCTCCTGTCTGTCCTCTAAAACATTGAAGATTGAATTAGATAATCTTAATTTTTATGTATAAATTTCACTTTCTCTTTGTTAGATTTTTACAACATTACAAACACCCGGGGTAAAGTGGCACGGTTCTGTCTGTTCAAACAGGCATATAGGATAGGAGAGGATGTCATTGGGGCGTTTGACTTTGATCAGGGAACAATTCCATGTGTGCAAGTAGGTGTATGAATGTCTACATTACATTTATGAATTTAAGCCGTCATACTCCAATAAAGACCAGTAAATCAATTGTTCTAGCTATTGTGAGGTCACATATCATATTAGAATAACTCAGATGCGGGTAGGTTCAGATGAGCCTTATGTATCTAATAGCTTTGCAAATTAATAATATGCCCAGCAAAAGAAAGGAAAATGTTATCTGTCCAATACAAGAAAAGATATTTCACTTTTTTTGTGATTTTGCAACATGGGGTCTAAGGGGAATCAACCCGAAATAGAAGTCACATTTTAAAATTTTTAAAGTTGATGAACAATTTTCTAAACCACATTTCTAGATGTACTTTTACATGTAGATTTCAAATATGACATCACTCTTTGACTGAATTTTGAATATTGAATGACATAAATCAAGATAATTTCTACTCACATCTAGTCTAATATCTGTATACCTCTATATTCCAGTATTCAGTGACTTTACAAAGTGAAGAGCAGATATCTGAAGGATGTCGAAAGAAAGGAACACAGGGCTCAACAATAACATCATATACCAAACAACAAGAGTGTTGCCTGCATACAATACAAACACATATCAGTGTACCTATACCTTTAACTGCTAGTCCTGCATTCCAAACAGATATAGGTGAGATTCTAACACATATCAGTGTACCTATACCTTTAACTGCTAGTCCTGCATTCCAAACAGATATAGGTGAGATTCTAACACATATCAGTGTACCTATACCTTTAACTGCTAGTCCTGCATTCCAAACAGATATAGGTGAGATTCTAACACATACATTTATCAGTGTACCTATACCTTTAACTGCTAGTCCTGCATTCCAAACAGATATAGGTGAGATTCTAACACATACATTTATCAGTGTACCTATACCTTTAACTGCTAGTCCTGCATTCCAAACAGATATAGGTGAGATTCTAACACATACCAGTGTACCTATACCTTTAACTGCTAGTCCTGCATTCCAAACAGATATAGGTGAGATTCTAACACATATCAGTGTACCTATACCTTTAACTGCTAGTCCTGCATTCCAAACAGATATAGGTGAGATTCTAACACATACATTTATCAGTGTACCTATGCCTTTAGTATTATCAAAGGTATTGTAACAGTAGACCTCAAAAGCAGTGTACAGTTGTACACCATTAAAACCAGAATAATATACTAATAACAATGATAACGCAGTACAGAGCAGTTTAATTTAATGATATTGATATTTAAACTTTTTTTCATTTTCAGTCAGCCTAAAGTGGAGACTCCATTTTGAATTTGTGACCAGTCTAAAGCCCATAGAAGGGCCCGTTATGTCAAATGAGCCATCAGAGGGCAGCACCTGGACAGGCCCAGAACACCTTGATGTAGAGACTATGGTATGGGACTTACCTATAAAAGTGTTTGCCACAAATCCCTTAGCCGCCTCCAGTGTATCATTACTAAGGACATGCAGTTCAATAGCATTATGATAGTTTGTGAATGTGTGAAAAAATGGTATGGGATCTGCGATCAGATTTAGTGGTGCTAAACATTCATTCATTAATTAAACTGAGTTTGACGGTCATATGGGTGTAGACATGATATAAGGTACATTTGGCAGGAAGGCGGTCTACCCCCTCTTGTCTTTCATACCATACAATATGTACCCTTCAAATGGTCTAAACACAATTTCCATCAATTAAAACTATATGTAGTTATCTCTAGGAGAAGCAAGACATGTCTATCTTGAATAATATAGCTTAATTGCCCTCAATTATTTTTCAAAACTGGCACAATAAGTGACAAATGACTGTAAAATACAGCTCAGACTGATTGTTCAGGTAGGTGGCAGAAAAGTTCAGGAAACCCTTGTGTTGAGACAAAAAATTGGAACATTTTTCCATCGATTGTAACTTTTTTGTTAGTCATGTATTATCTTCAATACTTTAGAAAATTGATATACAAGCTCAACATTTAACTACTGAACATGTCCTCCACCCACCTGAACAATCAGTCTGAGCTGTATTTGACAGTCATGCTTAGCTTTAATGACAGGTTTTGAGACATATTGTGCCAGTTTTGAAAAAGCTGAAGTCAGTTAAGCCAAAATTAATCATACATATGTAATGACCTTCGATAGAAAGTCGCTACTACAGTCTCAGCTGTAGTGTCTAGCCTTTATGGCTCGGGGGTAGAGCGTCTGACTCGAGAGCGGGAGGTCCTGGGTTCGATTCCCGTACGGGGTATTGAATTTAGCTCATTCTCTTTCGTGTCTAGTATCTGACTCGGTACACTACAGCTCCCCGACGAGCGTGCCCAAGGGTAGTTCAACGTCGTTAAACTCAATAACGGCGTTCTTTACTATTAGGAATTTTCTTGGGGCTGTTATTGAGTTTAACCTCTTTATGCCTGGGTCACATAGCCGCCGGGCGCCGGCCGATGAGTAGTCATCGGCCGATTTATAAATCGACCGGGCGCCGGTGACTTTTCACCGATGTCTTGATCTAATCGCGCCCGCAATCAATTGAACCTGAAAGACATCGCACGGGTATCGCAAGGCTATCGGCCGATGGCCGTACGGGACCCGCCAGGACATCGGTCGATTTACAGGCCTCTAGATTTATACTTAATCCCTGTATGACCCAGTATGACTGTTCCACATGGCGTGAATGCAACATTTGAAAACGAAATACTTTGATAAACAGGACTTCCAGGATAATAATGTTTTCATGCAATAAAAATCAGAAAAAGAAGATCCTCTTTTGAGTAAATAGGTTCAATATTTAGAAAAAATGTTGACATGGGGTCCCTATTCATCATTTTTCGAATTGTTTGATTGATATTTTTATCATCATGGGTACTTCAATTGAAGGAAAACATATTGTTTTAATAAAAACACTCTATTTGTGCCCAGAGGGTACTCATGGTGAAAGATATGACCGTCTAAAATCACTTGCCATACTGGACGTGGTGTTTTCATCAAAGTGCACCCTGATCTTAATTCATTTTTAGATCTTTCATATAAAAAAATTACTATGTCTACCTGTCCATCCGATGCTATTAGCAAAATTCCCTATTTCTCCATTCTTTCTTTCGTCTGTTCTTGTAAAGAGAATTAGTTTGGTCATAAAAATATGGCTTCAAAGAAATTGGCATATTTCTTCTGTTTCAAGTGGAGTACCCGCTTCCCTATAGACACATCTAAATCTTCATCATCCACCAGCTCAGTAGCATTGTTATTGCCTTTTTCCACCTGTCTTTCCAAGGCTTTCCTCATATATGGCCCATTGGCCTTATCCCCTCTATCCTTAGCCTTTGCCATATTACGTTGTAATTGAGACGTAATTAATCGTAGTAAAATTGTGACCCTTGAAATTACTGTACTCACAAAAACATTCCGAAGGTTTTTAAAATAAATGATTTGTAATGGTATATGTATGAGTGAATATACGCATAAAAATGTAACACTCTATTCAATGTGTATGACAGACATACACTATTAATGTCAATATAAGAACGACTAGATCAACCCACCCACCCAGCCATTCAAATGTGTGCCATTGTTTTATATACAGTAAGCTTAATCGTTCCATTTATGTTTTATAAAAATCTCTGACAGTGTGTAGTAATTATAATTCCTTACCTCATTATTTTTAAAACCTTTATATCACTTTATAAGTAATCATTATTAAGATTTATCCAACAAATCAGCACGCAAATCCAAAGATGATCGTGCGATGCCACCGGGCGCCGTAATATAATCGTACGATGATCGGGCGGGACACGGCCGGGTAGGTACCGATGAGTTTGGTTGAGAAAAAATCGCCAAGACATCGGCAACTTTTATCTCCGCGATAAAACTCTGCCGGCGCCCGTACGATGTCTAAAAATCGGCCGATGAGTGGCGATCATCGCCCGGCGCCCGTACGATGCCCGATTTTGAACAAAATACTCATCGGCCGGGCGCCGCAGTAAAAATTGGAGCCTATGTGACCAAGGCATTACTATTCTTTCCTTTGATGCAAGTTCTGGATCCATCGAAACCATTTTGCCGCGATTACATGCAATTGATACTTGTCAATAATATAAAAACACATAACATCAAGCGATTTAACACAATATTATTGTGCTAAATGTTCATTTATACTCGTAAAATGAGGCTACACTTACCGATCTCTAAAATGACATTTCCGCATGTCCGTCATTGTGTCTGTTCGTCCGAGTGTCCCGGATCGTAAAATTAAACTACTAGCGAAACGAAATTGTTGTCAAATAGATTGATAATTATTATCGCGATTACTCGCATTAAAAGATAAATTTTGAGGATAACAGGTATCTTTTATTGATTTATATAGCGCGTGTATACACGCAAAATAGTTATTAATTGCAAACCAACTGTTTGTAAATGCAGTGCCGCGATGACGGTTAATTTCTGATACGATTTGCAATTTCGATGTTACCGAAACTGACCGACATTGTCGTTATATTCCAAACCTGTCTCCAATATTTTCGTAATTATGCATCAATAGGGTCTAAGGGGGATAAGGGATGGTGTGTATGTATTCATAAGGTATGTATGCATGCTTGAATCACATTTTTTGTGTAATATTAGCATGGTTTCAGGGTTTAATTAGTTCCGCTTGTCGAAACCTGCGGAACGATTAAATTAACGCATCAAGGGCAAAATGATCATGGAGGTTAGACCTAGCCGGGGCCATAAGACATGTCAGATAAGAAACGAGGCCCAGGCTAGGTCTAATGTTGTTGGACTAGCCCAAGGGTCGTTACACATACATATTTTTTCTTTGACTTTTTACAAGTATCAGAATTTTTGTGGATTGAACAGCAAAAATAAAGATCATAGAATAAGAATAGAAAAATGTTCCAGTTTTTATTGGCCCACCCTGTAGGTTTTCAAAAATTAATTTGAGGAATACATAAAGGATTTCATGTTTGATTTCGTGTGTATTTTATCTTGAACATTTTTACAAATAATCATTTCACAAGTATCTGAATTTTTGTGGATTGAACTGCAAAAATAAAGAGGATAGAATAAACAGAAAAATGTTCCAGTTTTTATTGGCCCACCATGTACATCATAGTTTTCGCTTCAAATCAGTTAATAGTGACACCGTACACCTAAAGTGTACGACGGTATATTTTGTCACTGTACGTTGTCGATGGTTAGGCGTGTTATAGAGCATTACATAATTATCTACAATTTCAATTAACTAGATTTCACAAAACTCCTCTTATTTCTTATAAATGGATTAATCCGGTTGACTAGCCTGGAGCCGCTATGTTGTTTTCAGAATTGAACAAAATACTACAATCGGCCGGTGTGAAAGAAATGACGGTCCCCTAGGGATTATGGTCCCTTTTCTTAACGGCCCTTACTGACCCTGATTGCGTAGATAATGAGGGTAAGAGTTGTATTTAGGTCACCATATAAATCAATGGAGAGTAGGACCATCATTTGATAGGACCTCCTACCCTTTTAAACCCGGGTCCAGCTGACCGATGAATCGGAGCAAATGGGACCCAGGCAGTAGAGCTATCGGTATTGTTCAAGATTGGCACCGGACTCCCAATGTTTTTACCTGGCACTATTTTAGGTGGATCTCGGTCATGGCATTAATAGTTGAGAGATATGAATCGAAACCAGTCATATGTTTTACCGATTAATTTCCTTATGACTTGTGTACTTTCAGAATGTTTATAATAGGTGCCACAATATACTGCACTAAGAATGAAATATATCGTGTTTTGCAGATAGATGATGGTCCTTGTTATACTTTTGGAGTTCGAAATTTAATTTTGTTTCAACTATGCCCCATCATTTGAGACTAAATGCTTTAGCCTGAGCTCCATGCGTGTGTTCATTGTATGTGTATGGATATCTGCACATACTCGTATGTTTGACGTTTTGAGTACTGACTAATGACTATCAATTTTTATTAATTTATTCCTCAACATGTATTGTAATGACTTCAGTATGAATGAGTTGTCCCTACAACTGTGTTAGGTTTTAGGCTTGATTGACAATACATATTAAATCATTATAAAGAACAGGGTGGGCCATAAAGAAGACACTTAAAATTGTTCATTTTCCAACCTACAAATTTTGCAGTTATATATAGTGCCAGGGGTTCTAAGTAATAAAATAATGTAACAAGTCCTTCAACTTGGATTGTATTTTGATCTAAAAGAGGAGTTCGATCAATTGGTCCGATACCAATTATAGTGCCAGGGGTTCTAAGTAATAAAATAATGTAACAAGTCCTTCAACTTGGATTGTATTTTGATCTAAAAGAGGAGTTCGATCAATTGGTCCGATACCCTCTTTGGTTAAAGCCCAAAGTCTTAGTTGACATGCTACTATCAGACTATAGTAGTATCAATGAAATGTTGACGAAGTTTGTTTCACCGGTCTTAATTGCCAGCATTTGTTGAGGACTTTTTGAGATTGGGTGCTTTTATAACATCTTCTGAAGACCTTCCAATACCCTATACTCACTCACTTTACATCAGGTTAAATCAGCTTGGTGGTCATCAGCTCAGGTACAATTTGTAAATTCTGTTCATTTCTCATGGCACACCACATGTTCAAGAGAGACGCTGGCGACATACTTTATTCAAGTAAAAGTGTACAATTCATAATCCATAGCCAGATTGCATCTTTAAGTTTCATTTGGTACGCAAAACTATGATTTTGTATCAAATAATTTTGTTCCTTTCCGCGTTGGATTGTTCTTTGGGATTAATGAAGTTTCATTAATTTCCTTATGACTGTGTACTCTTAAAATGTTTACTTTTCTTTACAAATCATGATTTTATTGGCTTACATAGTGTAATACAAATACTATATATTTAATGTTTTAAATATAATTTATGACTCCTTTAACTAAAATTAAACTTTAAATACTACTAACTGACTGTACATATTTATGGGTGGAATACTTCAATTGACTAAATGCAACCTGTAAACACGCATTTTGCTTGGTAAGCAAGAGTTTGAAGTTGTTTTCAGACTGTAAGTTCTCACAATCTCTTGATACCAAAGTATACATTTCCACGATTCTCAATCAACACTTTTTACAGACAGTACCCCGGACATGTTCAATGATGCAGTCGTATGTTTACTCTATTTGCAATGGAACTATCATTCTTATTGAAATTTAATTGAGAGTAAAAACACAACTGCATCATCGACCCTTTCCGGGGTACTATACAATTTTTTAAAACGAGTACGCATCCAAACCAATTATTTTGTAACATAATCCATGTTCTAGAATTCATGCACAATCCTAAAATATCGGTGACTGCCATCTAATTCTATGTGTGTAAAAGAGTCCATAGCTGCAAACGTAAATTACAGAGTCAGCCTCCTTTATTATAAACAGAGTTAAATCTTAATGCTGGCCTGCAGATCATAATGTTTGTAGGTATCTCAAAATCTTATTGATTTTCTTCACCTTCATTTTGATCGTCCAAGTTACTCTTGACTTTACTGAAATCAAAGTTTTCTCCTGTTATGCGCTTGTACATATCCTTTACATCGTCAGATGTAGTTTCAAAATGAGTTGTGGCATCATATGAGGATGAAATGAATATGCGACTTTTCTCCCCGGTGTCCGTGGGCTCGTACAGGTCACTTACACTAACGAATCTGAAATAAGAATTTAAACGTTTACAAGGGAAAAATGCAGCTTGGTGCAGTTTTGGATGACTTCAGACTTGGCGTAAAACTTTCACTTGGAATTGTTGTTTGTACAAAGGGCTGGGTCATGAATAAATATTCTTCCTTTACTTGAGGAAAAAGCGAACAAAATTTGTATGTATGTTGATATTTCAATGAAAATGAGGGAATAAATCCTATTATCTTTAAAATACAAATGTCTGCTCCATATTCTGCCGGCACTATTTATAGCATCACTTTTTAGAAGATCGAAATTTAAGGGATATCTCACTTTTCAAGGATTGGTTCTAATAGATTTAGACCATGGGACAATTCTCCTTCCGGATAATCTGTCTCTACCGTTGTGGCCACGAGAGCAATGAAATAGCCCTCCGATGCCACCGCCTCAGTATGCGACAAACAGCTAACATAGATATCTGAAAATAGAATGCAGACCGACACGATTTATTCTCTTTTAGATTCTGATTTTGCTATTGGAATTCATGTCATCCTAGTAATTTCATGGGTTTTCAAGAGAAGGCCATATAATAGTAAAATATCATGATATAATATAATAGTATTTTGATCAAGAATATGCTTGTTGGAATATTGATCTTAGTCGTTGATTCAATGCTATTTGAATATTGGTTTTTATTTTTCCACTGTTGGAAGACAATGAATTAATACATAGGTTAAAGAACAAACTTTAGGGATGTGACCAAATCAAACTCACCATTTTTCCGGTTTACTTGATTCTGTGGAATAATAATCTGACAAGAGGAATTCCCAGCGTTTGCAATTGGATGATTCAGCAAACAGATGGCTCGCACAACCTGAAATAAAGCATTGCGATATTTTATAGGGGTTTTTATGGTTTGTATTTCAAATACATAGAGGATATCCTATGATTTATGAGTGATATGATTTTTATCCACGAATGGATATGATATCTGCACGAGCGAGCGTAGCGAGAGAGTGCAGATATCAATATTCGTGAGTGGATTAAAATCATATCACGAGTAAATCATAGAATGTTCTTTTTATTCCATAGTTAAAGTCATCATCAGAATCGTCGGAAATTAAGTGATTTAATTCGAATTTTCCAAACGATCCGGCGATGTTGACACTTAGCCTCGTTTTGAGTCTGAAGTAGCAAAAATCCACAAACCATCGCATACGGCGCCGTATGTCATGGCTAAAAAACCGTATGCTATGGTTAAGTGAAAATTTTGACAAAAATATCATATTTTACCACTGATTACAAAAATACCGTTTCTATTTTCACATGTTATCCTATGAATATCATGCTAACTATGGAATAATGCAGTTTATCTCCTTCCCTTTCTTCTGAAAAGTCAAGAAGAATTTTTCAAGTCGATCCAACCGGTCATTTACCTGACCAACTTTCTTGACTTTCTCGAGTACATATGAGGGGTCGCAAATAACCATCTTGCACTTTGCTGTTTCACCTTCAGATTTCACTCCAACTACCTTGCCATCTTCACAAACGATTTTATCGCATGTCTTATCAAGCATATAGGTACCACCGTAGACAGCACTAAGTCTGAAAAATATCATGTAAAAGCAAACATTGCACAACTTATTCTAATTATTACCATAATTATTGGATATTCGAATATGAATAATTCCGACCTCGAGTTTAGGTTCTATGACTTTTTGACAATACTACTGGTCAAAATGACAAATAAACTAATGAGTGTTTGGTGAGATTTGCTACTATAGAGTTGTTGCTCTCTAGTTAATATTCAAATCCATAAATACCTGGCAAATCCTTGAGGCAATTCTCCTAATCCATAGAGTGGGTACAAATAAGGACTTTTTCCATAGGAAGACAGGGACTCATAGTATAGCTGGTTTTTCTTTATCTGCTCTAATACAGGCTGTGTAATGTATCTTGATGAAATAAAAATCCCATGTTATTCACTACTTACATAAATATTTTTGCCTAGACTTTGCAGGAATATATACAATCACGAAACGCGTCCTCTTCTTGAAAATGGATTTTCTTAATAACACTCTGTGAATGCCTTTGAATTGATATTTCTAAATGTTTCTGCACACAGTGGTATCAGAATTATGATGATACCGTCTTTCAAGTTTTAGATATAATTTATTTATTCTCCCCTACCCAAAATTTTTCAATTTCACTATTTCGATTTTTGTGCCATTGCTAGGTGGTTGCTAGCTAACATCATGGACCGAAATTATATTGAAACTGTACCAAGTCATATGTATACATTCATACCTCTGCATACTAAATTAATGATTGACATTTGTTGTACATCTTGAAATATATATGCTCACGACAAAAACAAGTTGAATTTGAAATTGCTGACTATTCAATTTCACGTTACTTTGATTTCACAGTCAAGCCACGAATCTCTTTCACATTTGATCAATATAAAAGTTGAAAAAAATAAATTTTAAATTGAGATATAAATGCATATACCATTAGCCATGGGGTTTAAGAAGCGTTTCTCAAAATATTTTTATTACCCTTTAAACAATTACTTGATTGTGCATCAAAACGTAAATATACTCTTAAATTGCTAGTGTCGATGATGGTGCATACATAGGCTTACATTGATTCATGTTTCAAAATTAATTTTGAGTTTAAAGATGAACTAATGTATTAAGTTTGAATTATTTAATCACATGAACAAAAATAAATTGCAATAGTTGTTGTTTATCTTAACAAGAGAATTTTATTAAGATAATTATTGAAATACATTGCCTTGAGTTTCCCTAAAGGTAATTAATTTCAAGATTTTGTTTTCTGGGCTAAATAATATGCCAAGTCAATTCGTCGATCGACAAAATGAATGTACAAATTAGACACACATGTCTTCTTACATCAAAATACAACATTGTTACGAATAGGTCAATCACTCCTCCTTGTGATATTAAGTGTTATTTAACAGTGTCGCTGACGGTCGCTTATGTTTTTAAACAATAACGTTTACATAATTTACACATTTAAGGTCGTATTTTATTGTAATTAAAGCATGTAAATATTTCTCCAATGAGTATCCCCTTTACACGAGAACATTTCCCGGAATCATGAAACCAGTCGTGGCATTTAGAGCACTTGATCCATTCGAAATGCGATTGTAAATACGAATAATAGTTGACACTGCATGCCTTGCAAATGTTTACAGTTTCTGTTCTTTTTATCGGGCCTCTCCTTTTTTCTTCTTTCTGAAGACTTTGAATTTGTAGATGGGGTACTAAAGGCCGACGCTTCAATGTGGTTGAAAGAGTGGAAACGTTGTGGGGCGTCGATGCTTTACTTGGCGTACTGGGTGTCGGGTGTGCTCGTCGTGTGGTCCGTTTTGGTTTTAAAAATGGTTGCTCGAATGCTCGGTGACCACCTTAGCTACCTGCTGGTTCTTCCTAACGGTAATAAGGTGGTTCCTTTACCAACCACAGGGTGAGGATGACGTATCTGTTCTGCATGCGTCACAATAGCACGATAATTCTCGCGTTTCAACAATATTATCGGAAACCCCTCTCACAGCATTGATTCGAAAGGTACCTGGTAAGCTTACTGGTTTAAGTCCAGTCGCCTAATCTTCAATGCTTTAATAATGCGTTCTGGGATTTCTTGGATTTTCATTTGTGTCCTGGCAGTTTCACTTTTAGACTCTGAGCGTTCCCTTCAGTCTGGCGTGTTTTGATTGTTTCTATATAGGCCTACACTTGGCGTATGCGTGCCCTGTATTCCCGGGATGCTTTGTTGTTCTTTTATATGATCTGTTGAAGAGCTTCAGCAGACAGGTTATATCTCGGTGTATACGTTCTTGCTCTAAGTAGCCTTTGATATCTTTCTTTTTCTTTCTCTCCCTGCACTGTAGTCTGTAGGGAACGACGGCACTTCTTGGCGTTGCTGAGTGCCATATTCTTATATCATCAGAAAGGTCTGATAAGTAAGACAGATATACTAATGAGAGTGTGGGAAGTTATGCACATTAATAAAATGTCACAAAACTGATTATCCCAATGAAATATCTAATTGTTTTACAATAATGGCAAGAAATACATTTCGTCTAGTGGTACACTGAACGAAACGTTTATGAATTAAGAAATATCGGGGAATGTGCATCTATATTTGGCAGTGATTTTATAAGACTATGAACTGCTCAATCATCCCAATTCTTGTGTCACATTACCTTAGCATTTCAAGACAAACAGAATATGCATCATAAGTAAATAACATGATCTGCTTAATAGATTCAATTTTACTTATCACTATACGTTGTAGTCACAGTCAACAATATACTCTAAATCCTTAGCTCGGTATCACTGTAAAATGCTACACATACAACAAAATAGTCATTTAATGAATGTAGGTTCATTCAACAAATATATAGCGTTCGATTATACATGTGACCTACTTAATATGTGGATAGTATTTTGGAGTCGTATGTGGTGGAGTCGTTGATGGTCGTAAATATCTCAATCTTTACGTGGTCAAAGAGTAACATCAATAAAGCGTATTTTTATATTATCAATATACAAACCGTCAACACCATTACTTAACATTGAAACCTGATTTTGATTGAAAGCAGAGTGCAAAGACAACGTACTTGTAGAGTCGATGATGATTTTGAAAAATAGTACTTTACGTCGAAAAATACGTAACAAGCTAAATATGTTATATTCAAATGTATTGTGAAAATGTTTTACATCCGTTAATAAGGCAATTTATATTTCAAAGAAGTAAACGAGGAATTATCATGAATAGTACAGAGGCTTCTCGACACTGTTGATTTCAAGCATGGTGTCGATGATGGTGCCTTCGAGGGCTACACATACTTAATGTCGATTTTCCAATAGTAAATTAGCAAATAAATTAATTCCAGCTAACGTACAATAGACACGATGCAGTCTTTGTGATGAAATAGTCAATTATTATAACAAAATACGTTTCAGAATATAAAAAAGTTACTGTCAATCAACATAAGGGTGATCGGTTACAAGGCAAAAAATGATAGTTTGGAATGTTCGACGATTGATAATGCGTTCAGCTTTTATAACCCTGAGATAAAAACTAAATGATATTTTGCAGGATTAAGAGACGTTTAATTTGATACCAAATACTCATGGTAGAGCGTATATTAAATAGCGGAATAAAAACATATAGTCATGTAACATAAAATTCGTTATAATGAAAGGAATACGTGGCTTGAGTGTTCAATGGGATTTCGCGATACCTGCTATCTTTGAAAGTGTCCAACTTCAATTCTAGAAAAGCTTTTACCATGATTTTAGTTTTATTTGAAAGATAATAGATAATTCTTTAAGGTAACATTCATCGAAGCATTTTTGCACAAAATAATTTATTGTGAAAAAAAATTGACAATTTTTCACAAAATGTCAAAGAATTACATCCCCTTGGTCAAGTTGATCTCGATCTGACCTACGATATTGACCTACTTTTTTAACATAATAAAACTTTTCTGAAGAGGTAATTGAATAAGGCTTACAACAATACCAACAATAATGAAATCAGACAAGTAATAAAAAATCGCAGAGGGGATGGGATGGGTCCAAATGACCCCCTCTTGCTACTTAATGCTGTAAAAAATGTTGCAGACATTAGGGTTAACTCGAATGGTAGAATTGTGATTTTAAGTGGTTCACAAACACACACTCTCACTTTGATTAAACATGAAAAATGTTTCATCGAGATTGCATGAAACATTTTGCCATTTGCATGTAGCCCTCTCAAGTTGGCTTTTTAATCATCTGATCTTAAATTAACACCGTGGTCATTGTAGAACTCAAGATAAGTAAAAGAGACCGACTAAGGCAAGGCTTATTGCCATGTTTTTGAAACTTATAATATTATACATTACCAACTCAACAACTCACTCGTCATTTCGATATAGAGATATAGCATGACCAACAAAATCTTGTGTATTTTGGTCAAGACCGAATTTCTTGTACAAATCTTTGGCGGTAAATTTGGTGGCGTCGACCCCTTGATGCGTCTTATCATCCTTCTCGTCATAATTGGTATTGTATAAAAGATAGTTGCGAAAACGTCGCTTCTCAAAGATACCCATTAGACCTAGGACAAACATTGTACATATCTTATTCATACTCAGTAAAATAATACTGAATGATTATGAACGTTGATCATGAAGGATTATTCAAGGAGAATGTCAGGGTATCGAAAAGAACAACGAAAAGTAACCGTTTGATATTATTCTTTTAGCTTTTCCGAAAATCGAGATAAACATTGACACCTTGGTAAGGTTTTGATGCACTTATCCTCTTTGTTAAAAGAAATAATTAAAATAATTTTTTTAATTCCAATCTTGTTTTATGGATGCGGATTCATTTTGTTACGAGGACAGACTGACTTCATCTCCACGTGAATACTGATGATTTTAAATTATTCTCAAATTTTATCGAATTGACAATAAGCTAATAAGGAATTTACATTTTTGAGAAATCTAAAATAATCATTTTATACATCTGAAGAAATTCAATATGATATAACATTCGGCAAGAATTTTTGTTTACATACTGCTACCGAGTGCCTCCTTGTCATTTGATGGGACTTTGTATATTTTTCCACCCTTTTTATACACATAGCTTCCCTCAATTTGTTTGAACTCAAGGTACCTGGTAACGTTTGTATGGATCAGCAGCTTCGCCAACTCACCTGAGGAAAACGGTCAACAGAAAATTAAAACATATGCAAAATGAAGGTATAGCCACAGTAATACTCAGAAATAATGGTATGCGTCTATGCGAGCTAGTGTATTCTATATATTACTATATTTTGGCATCGGTACCTTGCAACATGTTTTATATATTACTTACGTGCCATAGGTACCTTGCAAGTATATTCTATATACTACTAAAAAGCCATTAGTACCTTGCAAGTATATTGTATTACTAGAATGTGATCGGTACCTTGCAAGTATATTGTATATATTACTAGAGTGTCATAAGTACTTTGCAAGTATATTGCATATATTACTAGAGAGCCATAAGTATCTTGCAATTATATTGCATATATTACTAGAGTGCCATAAGTATCTTGCAATTATATTGCATATATTACTAAAGTGCCATTAGTAAATTGCAAGTATATTGTATATATTACTAGAATGTGATCGGTACCTTGCAAGTATATTGTATATATTACTAGAATGTGATCAGTACCTTGCAAGTATATTGTATATATTACTAGAATGTGATCGGTACCTTGCAAGTATATTGTATATATTACTAGAATGTGATAGGTACCTTGCAAGTATATTGTATATATTACTAGAATGTGATCGGTACCTTGCAAGTATATTGTATATATTACTAGAATGTGATCGGTACCTTGCAAGTATATTGTATATGTTACCAAAGTGTCATTAGTACTTTGCAAGTATATTGCATATATTACCAAAGTGTCATTAGTACTTTGCAAGTATATTGCATATATTACGAAAGTGCCATAATAACCTTGCAAGTATATTGCATATATTACTGAAGTGCCATTAGTACTTTGCAAGCATATTGTATATATTACGAAAGTGCCATAATAACCTTGCAAGTATATTGCATATATTACTGAAGTGCCATTAGTACTTTGCAAGCATATTGTATATATTACTGAAGTGCCATAATAACCTTGCAAGTATATTGCATATATTACTGAATTGCCATTAGTACTTTGCAAGCATATTGTATATATTACTGAAGTGTCATTAGTACCTTGCAAGTATATTGCATATATTACTGAAGTGTCAATAGTACTTTGCAAGTATATTGCATATATAACAAGAGTGCCATAAGTACCTTGCAATTATATTGCATATATTATTGAATTGTCATTAGTACTTTGCAAGTATATTGCATATATCATTAGAGTGCCATGGGTACCTTGCAAGCATATTAGATGTATTACTAGAGTGTCATAGGAACGTTGCAAGTAAATTGTATATTTTACTGAAGTGTCATTAGTACTTTGCAAGTATATTGCATATATTACTAAAGTGACATTAGTACCTTGCAAGTATATCGCATATATTACTAGAATGTCATCGGTACCTTGCAAGTATATTGTATACATTACTTAAGTGTCGTTAGTACTTTGCAAGTATATTCTATATATTACTAAAGTGACATTAGTACCTTGCAAGTATATCGCATATATTACTAGAATGTCATCGGTACCTTGCAAGTATATTGTATACATTACTTAAGTGTCGTTAGTACTTTGCAAGTATATTCTATATATTACTAAAGTGCCATTAGTACCTTGCAAGTATATCGCATATATTACTAGAATGTCATCGGTACCTTGCAAGTATATTGTATACATTACTTAAGTGTAGTTAGTACTTTGCAAGTATATTGTATATATCACTGAAGTGTCATTAGTACTTTGCAAGCACATTGCATATATTACGAAAGTGCCATAATAACCTTGCAAGTATATTGCACATATTACTGAAGTGCCATTAGTACTTTGCAAGCATATTGCATATATTACTAAAGTGCCATAAGTACCTTTCAAGTATATTGTATATATTACTGAAGTGTCATTAGTACCTTGCAAGAATGTTGCATATATCATTAGAGTGCCATAGGTACCTTACAAGCATATTAGATGTATTACTAGAGTGTCATAGGAACGTTGCAAGTATATTGTATATATTACTGAAGTGTCATTAGTACCTTGCAAGTATATCGCATATATTACTAGAGTGCCATTAGTACCTTGCAAGTATATTGCATATATTACTGAAGTGCCATTAGTACTTTGCAAGCATATTGCATATATTACTAAAGTGCCATTAGTACCTTGCAAGTATATTGCATTTATTGCTAGAGTGCCATAAGTACCTTGCAATTATATTGCATATATTACTGAAGTGTCATTAGTACATTGCAAGTATATTGCATATATTACTAGAGTGTCATAAGTATCTTGCAATTATATTGCATATATTACTGAAGTGTCATTAGTACTTTGCAAGTATATTGCATATATTACTAGAGTGCCATAAGTACCTTGCAATTATATTGCATATATTACTGAAGTGTCATTAGTACTTTGCAAGTATATTGCATATATTATTAGAGTACCAACGTTACCTTGCAAGCATATTGTATATATTACTAATGTGCCATTGGTACCGTTGGTAAAATCACGGTACAAAAGAGTATGGTACCTTACGGTACCGTTGGAGTATGGTGCCGTATAGTGTTCACAGTACTATACGCGCCCGTTTTAGTATACGTCCACTTTAAATTATAATATCCTTACCCTTTGCCATAATGAATTTGGGAATAAGGTCAACATTCCAATCTCGACCCCTTCCGTATTTGGAAGCATCGCCATCTTTATTAAAGTGCCGGAATAGCTACGAACACAACAATTCACATTTTTATGATAATACGTAAACATAATGAAATGCTGCTTGGTTCTTTAGATGTTTTCATCAGAAAAATACAAGATTTGAAGAGTAAAGCCCCAAGTAAATGCATGCTTACTAGAAAATTTAATCAACATTTAAAAAATTGTAAAGTCGTATAAGTTGTTGTCCTGAAGAAAATGAGGAGAAAGTTTACAAATGTGTTTCATTCAGTCGCCGTGGAGGAACAAGCTTGTAGATGCCAGAATCATAAATCAAACTCATCATTTTCGTAAAAAGGAAGTTAAAACTGAAAACATCATAACTGTTGCATTTGCATTATGTAACCGGTTATTTTAAGGAATATTAAGCTGTTCTGTTTTACTAATGAATGATTCTATTTACTAATGCATATCAATAAGCATTCTGTTTACTAATAAAGCATTCTACTTACTAATAAAGTATTCGTTTTACGAATACAGCATATTTACTAATAAAGCACTTTATTTTTAATGAAGCATTACATGTACATTTACTAATAAAGCATTATATTTTCGTAGAATTAACCAAACTGTCCACTGTGTTTGAAGCCCCTAATATCCATCTTGTTTATCATTTTCTTTTAATTATTTAAGGAAAGCATTGAATAATTGTATCGATTTTGCATTTGAATATTATATTTACTTCGAGGAAATACATTGATATTGATATCAAATTGGTTAATTATTAAATGAAATTAATTTGACATAGATTGATTAAAAGAGAGTTGCTAGCAAGTTTGAAATCCCAGGGTGAGGGCAAACACCAGTGTCGGGGCTTCAAAATACACATGCTTCACTGAACTGAATTACACTTACATCTTCTAACGGAGTCATTGAAGCACTCTCTGCTCCATAATAGTTGTTCCGGTCCATATGCAAAACCTTCTTGCCACTTATAGACATCAATACACTCAGAATACATTCCTAAAATAAAATTATCAAAAGACATGTCAGAGAGTAAGACTAGAGTTGAGTGAAGTTTACCAGTACCCTATGGTTTGAGGTTGGAAGTACATGGAAGTACTGTTATATGCCATGAGAGACATTATCCATCTTCCGCCATCAACGTTCCCTTAAGTGATCAGCCAAGAATTAGTATTTTAACCATGTGATGTCATGTCTTACGCCTATTACTACGGCTGTAAAAATCTCAAAGAGTAATATCTAATTAGGAGCAAAATAAGTTTAGGCTCAAGTTAGTCAAGGAAACGCAAGAAGTCATCCTTTATTGAAAGTTGCCCCCTAACGATGACAGTCCATGTCTCAGAATGTATTAAGACGTATTAAGATTTTTCACTTTCGCTATTCTCTGAGGATTTAAACAGGTGCATATGTTAGATCAATGCAATACCTCCAGGAAAAGCACTCATAGAGATGATAAAATAATTTCAACCTTGAGGCAGGGAAGATGCAAACAACCCACCTGATTTTCAACCCCTTCACCCCTGCTTCTTTCATTTTTGTTGCATTAATATGTTGCATTTTGACACACGGTTAACCCCCTTTTTAAAGATATCCATTTTGGGTGACCAAATTTAGCTGAAAGTAATGGATCACACTTTATATAAAAGGAATCCCTTATTCCTTTAAAGGAGTTAACTGTGTGTCAAGACACAACATATTAATGCAAGAAAATTTTGCGAAATCTGTTGCAATACTCTCCCTGCTCCTTTGAAACACATTTATACATAGTCATATATCTATAAAATTGACATTGAGACTCGACCAGTCCGTCGTTCCCTTGCTTGGTATACTTTCGATATCATGGATTTCACATTTGAGAAAAAGTAAATGTGCGAGTAATTTGATAAATAACCGTTGAACCGGACCGTCACGCTGTTTAGCCCGGTCCGTCCATATCGATCGCTACGCATACGAAGGGTGCACGTATTTGTTAATTTACGTTACGTTGGCTACAAGCCACATTGAGTTTAATAACGTGTGTAAAAAAAGATACACTGCGAATATATCCTCTATTGACTCTTTCATGCCAAAACGATGACATATTACTCAGTACAATGTACTGTATTTTAAAAGATTGGATATACTAGTAATGGAGTTCTCTTTCTTCTGTTTTATTTTACAGCTCATAAGTAAATGTTGTTCATCTTCCAAACCAGGTGTAAACGGGTAGGAGGTCCTATTAATTTATGGTCCTACTCTCCCATTAATTTATATGCTGACCTCTTTCCCTTATTATCTTATACACAATCAGGTCCAGTAAGGGCCTTTAAAAAGGGTGACCATAATCCCCAGGGGACCATAATTTCGTTCACACCGGGCTTCCAAGGTATTACAAGTAATGCATTGACGTTCATCTATTGGTTTTGGTTTTGGCTTTAAATAACGATAAAGTTTTATGTCTAACTTGTGTGACGAAACCTAAACAGGGAAATAGCTTGTCTATAATTTTTATTTTGAATTTTCAAATAAATTTTACTTTTAAAATAATCTTAATAGTTCTTAAAACGGGGTATTTGATATATCTTTTGTCCAATTAGTTTTATCATGCTGATATAAGGATTTGGACTTTCAAATATGAAAATGAATCACATTTCTTTCAAAATAAAGATGATTTTATTTGACCAATACAAGATTACATGACCCAATATTCTATATAGCATAATGAAGCTTACTAATTTTGGACTAATTGATCATCTATGAGCCTTATTGATCATTGGGAATACGATTTATGAACTTATATTTGGTAGTCACCATTACCCCAATTCGCGATCGCTAAATCAGTTATGGCCGCAATTTGTAGTGAATATACACCCTATTATACCCTATTATATGCTTAATGATCGTAGAGACGAGTCACGACGACTTAAAACCAAAAGACGATTTGTACCATAATTTTTGTGTATGAAACACGAGTCGTATTCACGTGGTGATAATTATCAGATTTTATGCTGATTTAGAATACAAAGAGAAATAGCAACTTTGATTTAGCTCAGCAGCCGTTACAACTAGCTACATATCACTACAAAAGGTGCCAATTACATCTATGGCATGCAATCCAACAGCAACATTTACAACTTGCTACATATCACTACAAAAGGTGCCAATTACATCTATGGCATGCAATCCAACAGCAACATTTACAACTTGCTACATATCACTACAAAAGGTGCCAATTACATCTATGGCATGCAATCGAACAGCAACATTTACAACTTGCTACATATCACTACAAAAGGTGCCAATTACATCTATGGCATGCAATCGAACAGCAACATTTACAACTTGCTACATATCACTACAAAAGGTGCCAATTACATCTATGGCATGCAATCGAACAGCAACATTTACAACTTGCTACATATCACTACAAAAGGTGCCAATTACATCTATGGCATGCAATCGAACAGCAACATTTACAACTAGCTACATATCACTACAAAAGGTGCCTATTTATCTTTGGCATGCAATCGAACAGCAACATTTACAACTAGTTACATATCACTACAATAGGTGCCAATTTGATCTATGGCATGCAATCGAACAGCAACATTTACAACTTGCTACATATCACTACAAAAGGTGCCAATTACATCTATGGCATGCAATCGAACAGCAACATTTACAACTTGCTACATATCACTACAAAAGGTGCCAATTTGATCTTTGGCATGCAATCGAACAGCAACATTTACAATTTGCTCCATATCACTACAAAAGGTGCCAACTTGATCTTTGGCTTGCAATCAAACAGCATCATTTACAGCTTGCTACATATCACTACAAAAGGTACCAATTAGATCTTTGGCATGCGATCGATCAGCAACATTTACAACTTGCTACATATCACTACAAAAGGTGCTAATTAGATCTTTGGCATGCAATCGAACAGCAACATTTACAACTAGCTACATATCACTACAAAAGGTACCAATTAGATCTATGGCATTCAATCGAACAGCAACATTTACAACTAGCTACATATCACTACAAAAGGTGCCTATTTATCTTTGGCATGAAATCGAACAGCAACATTTACAACTTGCTCCATATCACTACAAAAGGTGCCAACTTGATCTTAGGCATGCAATCAAACAGCATCATTTACAGCTTGCTACATATCACTACAAAAGGTGCCAATTTGATCTTTGGCATGCAATCGAACAGCAACATTTACAACTAGCTACATATCACTACAAAAGTTACAATTAGATTTTTGGCATGCGATCGATCAGCAACGTTTACAACTTGCTTCATATCACTACAAAAGGTGCTAATTAGATCTTTGGCATGCAATCGAACAGCAACATTTACAACTTGCTACATATCACTACAAAATGTGCTAATTATCTATGGCATGCAATCGACCAGCAATATTTTCGTCTACGAGCTTTCATATGATATATCACACATAGATGTATGCCATCTAAGATTGGTAATTGTTTAGCGACGGTCATTATGAAACACTAAACTCCTTGCACAGGCCGTGTCCCCGATGTATGACTTATCATAAAATAAGACCGTCACAAACACATTACAGTATGTACAAGTTAACATTTTATCGTATCGAAGACTTACCAATCGTAACAGTTTAATTACCTCTACATGTATACAATCCATACCTTCAATCCAGTTCCTAATACGATAACATCATATTCTTCATCCATGTTTCTACCTCAGATTATCAACCAAAGCTGAAAATAGGACAAATAACTGTTCAATGTTCAAATTATTAACTTGACAATTTTGTTCAAAGTTGGCTGTTGTGCACTGGCCTCATTCCAAACACACCATGTCGCGTTCAGAATTATAACTCGTGATGCGGAAAAGCAATTTCACTGGGTGAGCCAGAAAAGGTAACCCAAACAAATCTTAATAACTCAGGGATCCTAAATGGGCTAAGTGTCATATCTAGCACAATTAAGCCTTGTCCAATTTATTGTTATTCTACTAAACTTCTATGGTCGATCTTTAGTGGTCACGGTTTCATGGCTACTTTAAGCTACGTTCACACCAACGGCGAATGCCACGCTTTAAATCGGCGAGCAAAGCGCCGTCATTTTTGTCATTTTTCTTCATACCAACGGCGCTTTGATGGCGCTTTAAAGCGGCTTGTAAAGCGTAACAAAGCTTGATTAAAGCGTCGGGGTCGTAATAGGTCGTAAAAAAGCTCAGAGTAAAGCGGGTTATTCGGCAAGAGCGCCAAAAAATTTGAAACTTTTTAAAAATTTTGGGCGCTCTGTTACGAATTGATTAAAGCACCGAGAGCGTATCAAAGCCCAACAAACCGTAACAAAGCTCAAAAAAGCTTGATCCAAAGCGTAGGAAAGCTTAACAGAGCTCTAATAGGTTCCTCACGCTTTGATCCCGCTTTGATCAGGCTTTGTTACGCTTGAAATCACGCTTTGATAAGCATTATTACGCTTGGATGCGATTATGACGCTTTAAATCAGGCTCTGATACGATTGCCAAGCTCTGTTGTGCATTGTTACGCTCTGTTAAGCTCTGTCACGCATTGGAAAATGGCGAGATCGCCGATTTCATTCCGCTTTTGATCCAATGACTATATAAAGATGCAGTAGATCCATAAAACCATTGCATCTTTGACTCGAGAACACGATGGCAGAACAACAAGATCCATAAATTCCAGATGGACCAGAGCATGACCTATCTGAATAAGACATGACGTTTGACGCACGGCGTGAAATAGCGTGAGAGAGCATGAGAAAGCTTGTCAAGCGTAACAAAGCATAACAAAGCGTTTCGATTCTTGATGTAAGCGTCTCAATTTGTTGGAAAGCTTGAGAGTCCTTCATGAAAGCGTAACAAAGAGTGTCAGATATTGATGAAAGCGTCTGACCTCGTGTCAGATCTTCATGCCAGATCGTAACAAATCCTGAGACATCTTAACGAAGCGTGTAAAGTGGTAACAGACCATGAAGAGACTGGGGTCCACGCTTTGAACCAAGCTCTGTTAAGCTTTCCTACGCTTTGGGTCAAGCTTTGCTGAGCTTTGTTACGGTTTTTTAAGCTTTGATACGCTCTCGGCGCTTTAATCAATTCGTAACAGAACGCCCAAAATGTTTAAACAGTTTAAAATTTTTTGGCGCTCTTGCCGAATATCCCGCTTTACTCCGAACTTTTCTACGACCTATTACGACCCCGACGCTTTAATCAAGCTTTGTTACGCTTTGGTGCCGCTTTACAAGCTGCTTTAAAGCGCCATCAAAGCGCCGTTGGTGCGAACACTTAAACAGTTTAAAATTTTTAGCGCTCTTGCCGAATATCCCGCTTTACTCCCGAGCTTATCTACGACCTATTACGATCCCGACGCTTTAATCAAGCTTTGTTACGCTTTGGTGCCGCTTTACAAGCCGCTTTAAAGCGCCATCAAAGCGCTGTTGGTGTGAACGTACCTGTACAAAACATGCCATAAAATATGGGCGTCATGTCTGGAGGCCACCTTGAACGGTATTGTTCGTAGCTATTTACAACACGAGCATGAACAATGTTTCAATGTTTAACGTATCTCAAACATCATGCCTAAAGCACAAAACTCAGGACACATGTGTCTCTTTGGGGTTTTATTAAATCCTTTATATAATTCCTTGTTGAATTAAAGAACATTGAACAAGGTTTCTCCTGTGGCAAATATTACAGGTCGCTAAATGGATTAAAAAGTCATGGCCTTGATCCATGGTATTGGAAGGTATCGTTGTAATGAATAGGTAATATATCTTATGCAAAACAATTCATAGAATATAAATGACTTCTTATACTCATTCTGAATAGAAGGTGTAACTATAAATGCTGTATAAAGACATTCTCAGATATTCCACGGTTTCTATTATATTTCGTATATTTTGTATATCCCTTCAGTCTACTAACTCGGATTACAACGGCCCTTTAACACGGGGTTACAAATGGTGCTGGTAGTTCACTGATTTTTTTTCAACAAAATCGGATTATATTAAAACTGGTCCGTAGGCCATTCTTTCCGTCCCATTGAATTACATTGTGGGCGACGCCCATTTTTCAATGGAAAACAATGTTTCGCACTTCTTTGCTGCTCATTTACCGGAAATGGTTAGAACCATTTTTCAGATTTAAGCATTTGAGAATACATCAAAACACTTTCAATTGATGTAAACTAGACTGTTCTAGCACTTTTTATTGCAAAGATATTGCAGATCTACTTGTCCAGGGGTCAAATAAATAAAAAAAATGCATATATTGGGCATTTAAATTCACAAATGTTTTTCTTTTCTGTCAAAAACAATTTGAATATTTTGGAAATTTTTTATCATAAAATAACAAAATATCCCCTTGCAAATCTAATAAAACATGTTTTAAGAATAAAAGTGGCGGAAATCAATTTTTATTTTTGACCCCCTCCCCCAGTAGACTAAAGTTAGTAGACTGGCAATATCTCAGCGACAAAAAGTGCTAGAACAATCTAGTTTGCATCGATTGAAATTGTTTGATGTATATCCAAATGCTTGTAACAGGAAAACATTTTCCAATCAATTCCGGCAAAAGTGCAAAATAATGTTTTCCATTGAAAAGTGGGCGTCGCCCACAATGTAATCCAATGAGACGGAAAGAATGGCTGACGGACCAGTTTTAATGTTATCCGATTTTGTTGAAAAAAATCAGTGAACTACTGGCACCATGGCGTCGTACCTTTATCTGTTTATTTTTACTAGCACATCTCTTTTCATCATTTTCATCATATTATTGATAGAATTCAATAAAATTGTCAAACGCATTATCGCGATGTCATGTGCGAGGAAGTAACGTGACATTTTCTACGTTGGATGGGAAGAGGGAGGGGGCGAGTAGGAGTAGGAGTTTTTGCATGCACTGGGTTTGTACCGTACATGTACATTTGATTATGAATACCTTATCAAGCTGAAGTAGTCCAGAGCGGGAAAATGGCGGCTGGCCAAACTGATTCATTTCAATGTGCTTGTAGTAAAGATAGGTGAGATAATTGCCTCGTGATTTCAGAGAAAATAATCTTTCTAGTTTGCCTCGCAAATTGTTTTATTTTCCTCTCCTATTTTAACGATTCCTTCTCGAGTGGAGATCATGTGTTTCCCTATGCAAAGGAATGTACAAAATGCATCAACTACAACTAGTATTTGAATTATTAAAAATTATATTAAGTTCCAATTAAGACTCATTTAACAATTATCTTCAATTTTCGTAATTCACTTTCGAAAATTGGATTGGTATAAAGGAACTTTAACATATTAGCTTTCGATATAAGTATCAAACAGTAATCGAAACATATTATTCATACTACAATATTACATTTAAAAATGGATAAGAAAAACATATTTGTTAGGAGAATCCATATTAAATTGTTACTTGGCAATAATACAGTACACCGTTCTCCGACGTCCGCGTAAAGCAGTATAAAGCGCCCTAGATAGAAGCCTGCAGCGAAAAAACTGCCAAGAAGCCAGCCACTAAAAAAACAAAAGCTAAAAAAGCAAAGAAACCTGCAGCTAAAGCTAGAAAACCGGCGGCTAAAAAACCAGCAGCTAAAAAAGCAAAGAAACCTGAAGCTAAAGCTAAGAAACCGGCAGCAAAGAAACCAGCAGCTAAAAAGCCAGCAGCCAAAAAACAGCAGCTAAAAAAGCAAAGAAACCTGCAGCTAAGGCTAGAAAACCGGCAGCAAAGAAACCAGCAGCTAAAAAGCCAGCAGCCAAGAAACCAGAAGCTAAAAAACCCGCTGCCAAGAAGGCTGCCAAGAAACCCACTGCCAAGAAAACCGCCAAGAGATCAGCAAAGAAATGAACTGAATCACAACAGTTAGATTAGAAACCAACGGCCCTTATCAGGGCGACCTAATACTTACAAAAGATAAACATTATTTATGAATGTCACATTAGGTTATAGTGGAGTCAGATAAGTGTTCAATTGCACATGCTATATATATAGCATCATTTTTTGACATAAGTATCACTAATACATATATTTTTGATATCTAACGAAGTGGTGTTGAAAAGTGGCCCCATTTGATTATAACAGGCCTTGAAAATTTTGGACATTTACATTGAGCCCCATGTTAATTTATCAATCTTCAAAAGATCCCCTGCAGTACAGTTTTAGAGAAATAAAGCTAGCCCATATTCCCAGGATGTTACAATAGCATGATTATCTTCAAAATAAGAAGGGTTAAATTTTTTCTTTTACCTAGTTCCAAAGATATTTGAGTTTGAATTTTGGAAATTCCCCATTGGCTGCCATTATAAATGGCTATCAATATGGCTTTACTTAAGTGTCCTTTTCTCAAAATTTCTACGGTGAAATTTTCTAATATCGCAGATTTCTATAGTTAATAAATTGATTTTAAAGAAATCAAACAGGTACATTTCTGAAAATTTCTTGTTTTTTATATATTTAGCCGTTAAAAACTATAAAAACCTATATTGAACCCCATGTTAATTTATCAATATTTCAAAGACCCTGTGCAGAATAGTTTTAGACTAATAATGCCCATTCTCCTACTATGTTACAATAACATGATTATCTTCAAAATAAGAAGGGTTAAACTTTTTCTTTTACCTAGTTCCAAAGATATTTGCGTTTGAATTTTGAAAATTCTCCATTGGCTGCCATTATAAACGGCTATCAATATGGGTTTACTAAAGTGTCA